TAATTTCTTTAATAGTTAAACAATCAATTAACAAAAATAACTTTCAATAGCATTTTTTTTTTTTACTATTACTTTAAGTTTTGTGCACTAGTTGCATTTTTGTTCATTTTTCTATTTTCTTGTTGATCGTTCATTGTTACTAGTTTCTTGTATCGGTTTTCTGAACGAATGTTGCGCCCAGTTAGCAATTTTTGACGCGTTAAAAATCCACCAATCGAAATTCACTTTCACCAAGTTTCCTCAACACGAATCATGAATTCCTGTGCACGGCCAGGACTTGAGCGGCGGTCGACTTATGTTCTTTTCACCTGGTTAGATGGCAAAGTCATTCCTTAATGCACCATGAGACTGCGTTTAGGCAACGCGCCGAGGAATCTCTTCACCATCAATCAACCAACTGCAAATAACGAGAGGAAGAGAGAAAGAGAAAGAAGAATCTCGTTTCTCGGCAAACAATCTCTGCATTTCACGTAAACATCGTTTCTACGAAGACTATCGGATGTTTGCTGATACGTCGGTCGTGACCAATTGTAAGAAAAACGACAGTCATACGACAACGCATTAAGTGAAATGGCATCGAGCTAGGAAACGAGCGAGCTAGATCACCGCTTTTCTCGCTTTATCCACTATCGACACCTTCGCTCGCCGAACGTTATCAAGTTTAGCGCGCGCGAGCAATCTCGCGCGGGTGTTGCGGCGTATTTCTTCCAGCCAGCTACCAAGTCGACCAGCGATTACCATAAAATTTTATGCACGTTCGCAGAGAGTACGGTGTCGTGTATCGCAGCGACAATTGTTTGCAATAACCGAGCGTTGAAACTGCCGTTAGCCGTTCGGAAAAATGCGCACGTTAGCGTTTCTCATCATGTAACGATGATCTCATTAGTCGGCGACACTTTTTTCATTGGAAGGTAGGTCATGTTGGATCAATTGCCGACGCGAGCGAATCGTCGTCTGAAGATGCAACAGCAGGAGGGAAAACGTGACTGTATCCAAAGCGGTGATTAATGAGCCGACGATTATTCATTATAGCTATCTGTCAGACTCTCACTGATTTCTCGTGGCATTCTTTTATTGTGGTGCCTGTCCATTTTAGAGTGAAACTATCGCGAGTCGCTCTCGTAAATGAAGATTGCGCTGAGATTGGTTATTTGAGAGAATCGTTGTGATTCGCTGTGTCTGAGACACAGTCGCGTTGTCGCTTGCTCTCAAATACGAAGTAATTTCCGTACTTTGATAGAGAATATTTTTGACAGTTAGATAATTAGAGAATATTAGTATATTAATATTATTTGTCACAACTATAACTATAAATCTCATTTTATAAGAAAAATATCTCAGACAGATAGAAGTTAATTTATATATTATATTATATATCGTCTATAAATAAATTATATTAAATCAAATCCCGAGTGAACCCGAGTTTCCGAGAGTTTCATCGGATGATAAGCAAAGTTGGGTATGGAACTTGAGAGTGCTGTCGAGAGCAACTATCCAAAGATAACCTCAGATGAACACGTTCGCGAATTCGCTTATCCGCGAGAAAGTTTTGATTTTTCGCACGGAGTCACGATTATCCACGTCATGACGAATCGGCTGATCGCTGTGTTACGAGAGCCTCGTATCGATGCAACGGGCTCCCTTTAATAACGCACGAACTGAGGAGAGATTCGCGGTGGGAACCACGGGAAGCAACTGCACGTAGGATTGCTCAATTACCCGACGCAGTAATTCCACTTCGACCGGCATGTAGAAGTAAATCGCCGATGGAACGTGGCGGGTTTACCTTTGTAAATTGGCAGAAAAAGACTGAACCACGCGATCGCGACGACAGCCAACTCGATTTCTTTTTCTCCCTCCTTTCCTCTACCGAGGGGGAAGAGACCGACTACCGTAGAATTAAGGTGTACTGCCGCGGTGAATCAGCGCTTTGATCCGAGGCATATTTTCAGCAGGGACTGTTTCAATTTCTTTCCTCTTCTTTTAACGAATAATTCCGAACTATCGCCGGTCTTATCAAATTCTTCTTTTCTCTCATTTCAATTTCTTATTTATCTCGAAGAAATGTCGACAGGTTTATATATATATATTTTTTTTTTTTTATTTATACTTCCTTTACTGCTACTATGATATTTTTATTTGAATGTTACAATTAGCAGAATATAATATCTGCTAGTAGCGGATATGCTTCCAGAGACATTTATTCTGATGATATAATATTCAAATATTAAAATCTTTAAAACATAAAGATTCAACAAGAGAAGAGTTTACTGTATCATAAATGTTTGATTCATCTTTCATTCTTTGAATTGAATTTGTTCCATAGTTGATAGATTGTTGCAACGTTAAAAGATTAATATCTATTGTAAAAAGATAAACGGTTAAATTTGTAGCAAAAAATGTTCAAAAATGTTTCGTGAATGGTGATCTGCTCCAGTTTCATCTAAAGTGATGCATAGAGGCAATACACGAGGAAACTATAGAAAGGAGAAGTTAATTAGGGAAGACATTGATCATTCTCGTTAACTCGACAGCACACAAGTGGAGATCCAGCGGAACGACCTATCTGATAATTAAATTACAATTTGTCCAACTATAAAATTCATATTCGTATATATTTATATTAATGTTTTATAAAGCATACAAATATTCGTATATTATTTTTAACTATGCGACCCCGCGTGAATACTTTCGTTTCAAAAACCTACGTGTACACTGGTCAAACAATCAGTTTGGTTCTTCGACGTCATTTTTTTTCTTGCCTATGCTACTGTTTCGAACGAATTACACGCGAACAAACAAACGGAGATGCCTTACGTTTTGTATCAACACGCGGTGATCTCTTAGAATCACAGTCGGAGCGTTTACGATGGATAACAGCTGCGTGGACTCGGATTAGTCCATCTGGCGATCCCTGTGGAGATTCGGCTATCTAAACTCGCGCGATTCCGATAGATTCTTCTGTTTGAATCCGGTAGCCGATTGTTTCTCCCGCCAGACTAAATTCGCGATCGTTAATCGACGCTACCAACGAAATTTTAATCTTCCTCTTCGCTTGCTCTTTTCATCCTTTCTTTCTCCCTCGCGTATCTCACGCAACGAACGAGCTTCAAAGCCTATGTCCTCGTCGAACTTGGATTTTCGTCTCTTGTCAACTAACTGTTCGACAATGTGTAACAGCTCTAATAGAAATAAGTAATTTCTCGGAATTATTAATTCGTGAAATAAAAAAAAAAAAAAAAAAAAAAAAAACAGCCTGTTTTGTGGAACAAGTGGGTCGACTTTGTCTAAAACATCCTGTGTGATTGTTTAATTCGATACTTTGTATTATCCGATCATATAGCGACGATTTTTGTCGCCGTTAGTTAGAATATAGCCTAATACGTGAACGATTTTACTTTCGTAAGATGATGGCGAGATTTTTATCGTTCGACTGTTTCCAGAGCATGTTAATGAAAAACAATTACATTCGAACATTACGTGATCCACATTCGGTTAGGTGAACCATCATTCAATTTAAAATCATCGCTCTCTGCGAGATAATCGTCTTCAAGGATCGCTGGTTCAAGCATCATTCATCGTCATACACGTGTATTCTCATCCGTCGATTTTTCCGAGAAACTACGAACTGCGAAAGATAAAGAAAGATCTATTAGTACGTTGGGCACATCCTTTTAGCGATTTTTCGGTGGGGGGCGAAAGAAACCCACACGGTTGATTAACACCCTAACGCGCGGAGCAGGTCGGTGAGTCAGAGGTTCGACAAAGAGGGAAGAACCCGCGGTATCGTTCACCAGCCTCGCGGTATCGATTTCGCGCGAGACTCCGGCAATAAAAAGCGGCGCCCAGCAGCCGCGTGGTATCGCCGAGGTCGTGGCTGCGGACGTCAGGTCGGGAATTTTGACGCGGATGAAAGCGGTTTGCGGTCAGTTGCCGTCTGCAATGCCAAGGTCGATCTAATCTTGGCCCTCTCCCCCGTCAATAGGTAAGAGGAACTGCATTTCATCTCGTCTCGTCTCTCGTTCTGCTTTCTCTCATCGCATCGCAGATATTTCGACGTTCATAACGAGCCAGCCAGAGCCGCCAGCGAGGGAAGTGCAACGAATTCAAAGTAGTTCCGGGAAGCATATTGTCGGCCGAAGGACTTCGAGTGGCAAGCAGGTCGAAATAGAGGTGTCTGGCACGGCGAACTCTATTGCCAAGGACGAGTCACGAAAGGATGCTTCTCAAGGCTAATTGTCGCGATCTTCTGCACCGATGCGCACCGACGTGAAAGTCGACGGACGGGTCGTCGCTGGCGTAGAACCGAAGATCGTTGAAACGATCCTCGCAGAGGGGAAAAGGGGACGACGTGACCCGCCTTTCTCTTTCTTTTCGATTTTTCGAGACGATCGCGAAAGAAAATAAAACGGAGCGTGAATGCTGGTAGCCGATGGCGCGAACAGCGACCACGGTCCAAAGAGAGGGAGACACATCGATAAGGATTCTTTCTCGTGCAGCGGCGAGCGTGCGCGATCCTGCACCGTAAAGTCGCGCCACGACGATCTTAATCTTCGCGGACAAGGTCGATACCGAAGGAATCCGACGATTCAGGCTCTACGATTTCCAGTATCGTCGATGGAACTCGAACGGAATGTAGAATCGTGCCGCGCACGCTTCGAACGATCGAATCCGAGCGGTTCTCGGCGCCGAATCGTTATCACGACCACGTCGGACAAAACTCGATCCGCTGATTGGGAACCTAACCTAATCACGTAATCAGCTGGTGCGGACAACGCTCGTAAATCTGTTCCGCCATCATGTGAACAGTAGTACCTCGCTCGCCTAGAATTTATCATCGATCTCGACTACCGGCAGTCTATCGACTGACGCTCTCTTCGTTCGATTCGACGTTCCTACAGATACCCGCGTATCCAATTACCTTCGAACCGAAACATCGACGTCGTCTCCCAGTTCCTGTTCAAACCGCGACGAAAAGAGTAAAAAGAAATGACACTAACCGTGTTATTGATGTCTGCCTGCATGTCCGTGTCCTCCTCGATTCCAGCCTTAATAAGTTCCTCCTCGTTGTCCGGGGTATTGAGATACTCGTCGTAATCCTGTTCCAGACTCTTCGTCCTCGGTTGAGTATCGTTGTTCTTCGTGCCGGCTTTGTTCTCCGATCGATCGACGCTCTTTGTCAAGAGACTGCTAACGTTCCTCGGCAATTTACGCTCGACTAACGGACTCGCCAGCTTGCCAGGTAAATTCTCTTCGAATCTCCTCGAAGAGCGATGGCTGTTAACGTATGGAAGACCGGAAATCTTTCCACGATCGCGACTCAACGGCCTGGTAAGGTTCCTTGGCTCGTATTTGAAACTTTCGAGGCTGTCGCGCCTCGTGTATCCGTTGGTCTCGATGTTTCTCGAGTCTCTTCTGATCGTGGGTCTGGGAGTGGTTGGTTCATCGTCGGACGTCAACCGTCTGATGATATCGTCGTAAGTTTTCAGCGGTGGTTTCCTCGCGCTTCTGTAAAACTCGTCTTCGTCGTCGTCCTCGCCTTCGTCCTGATCACTGTCCTCGGTCTCTTTCCACGTGTCTTCGTCATCTCCCACGTCGTCGAAGTCGTCCAGAGGATACTCGTAATCGTCCAAGTTATCGACTCTTCTCCTCTCGGTTTTGGAATAGGAGAGTCTGGACTCGCTAGAGTTTGGTCTCCTTTTCCAATCGTCGAATCTTCTCGAAGGTTCCGAATGGTTGGGTCGACGCGTTTTTCTGTCGTTGACGTGTCTAGAGTCACCGATCCTGTGTTTTCGCCGATTTCTCCACCAAGATCGATGCCCGTCGGGACCGCCCTCGTACGCGCCTCGTTTCTCATACACGAATTCGTCCTTCTCGACCGAATCGTGATCCGAATCACGATGTTTGGAATAACCGAGTCTTCGGTGAGTCCTGTCGGACCTCAGTTCGTAGCTTCGACCGGGGTATCGGGGAGAACCTCTGCGTCTCTGTTCTTCATCCTCGTACCAGCCGGTTCCGCGATAACCACCTCGATGATACCCAGGTGGGTAACGCGGATCGTACATCCGGCCGTGCACGGCGATTCTCGAGGTCCGAGGATAGAATCTCTCGTAATAGGGACGACCATCGTAATCATCGTCATCCTCCTCCTCTTCGTCGTCATCTCGATCCTCTCGATCGGCCAACGAGTCGTCCTCGTACGCGAGTTCCTGCGACCAAGAAGAGGACGATCGTCTGTCGGCAATGTCGTGCCGATTTCTCCTCCCATTTGGGGAGTCGTGCCTGTGCCTGTGTCGGTGTTTGTTGTCATTCGCGATGACCTCGTGACTATGGTGTTTAGCTTCGACTATAAACAAGCCATAGGTCATTGCGAGGATCGCGAATAACAACAGTTTGTTGTCGAAAATCATTTCGTCTTTCTATTCTTTTGCGTAACCTTACATCATCTTAGGCGAGCGCGATTTCGAGATTGATGAAGTTCGTCGCCTGAAAAAAATTGCACACCAGCTGGTTTCTACCCCCGCCCGGTGTTCAACGATGCATTTCGGTCAGAGCGCAGCGGTACCACGTCTCACGTGAGACTCGTGGCCGTTGCCGCGATTGAGACATTAATGATCGCGATTCGCGACGCCGAGTCAGCAACAATCATTAGTCTTCTAGGTTTCGGGAATCAACGTAATTCATGCGTTGGGATTGCATCCACGTGGTACAATTCGCGAGATTTGATTATCGAAACGTCCCGTACGATACGCTCCGTTTTCGACCGCGTTCCAGTTTAACATTACAAAACTGTCCTCTGGAGCCGGATTTCGCTCACGTCTCGCGTCTCTTCTTACCCCGAGTATCGTTCTTTCCACCAGTTTCGCATCCATCGTGCGTTCTCCATCTTGGTCGCGGGGCTCCGATTCCTCGATTCGATTCCGCGATTAACCGTCCCCTTCCTTCGTTTTCGGTGCTCACTGTGCTCGGGAACGATCGAAACTCGCGCCCGATACCGGCACACCGTTTGCTCGAGTTCAACTCAGCATAGAGATTACACCGAATCGTATCGCGGACCGAATGTCGCGGGCAACTGAGGCCAGCCTCTCCGGCCGGCGGCTTGAGAGATCGCGGAACGCAGTGCGCATGCGTGCGAGCGATATTCGTCTCCCTCCTCCGCCCCCCTGCCGACGCTTGCCCCCCCTTCGGCCGCAGACTTTTCTGCGTCCCCTTCGTTCCTGTACCTGTGCCCTCGTGTGCCACCGCAACAACCGTGTGCACACACGCTGTTCCACGGACTCCCAGTGGACGCGGTACACCTTGAATCCTGCACGCACGTACGTACGATCGATACGCGCCGCTCCGAAAAATCTGACAGCGAATCAGCGTACTTTGAAAGTACCGCTTGGTCCTTTTTCTGCTTGTTCCGTCATGCAGTGGACGCACGTCGCTTCGATTCGCTCTCGTGGTATCTTTAAAATGGGATATTCCGTGACCATCTGGTTCCGGTTGCAAATTCGTATCGATACAACGAAGAGGAATGAAGAATTGTGTTGTTACGTGCAATTTTCTAATTGCTAACGTTGTCACGGTGCATTTCGCAACTACCCTTTTTTTGACCAATGTGCTCGTATTCGTATTTATTAATCCCCCTGGCTTACGATTTTCTTTTCAGTTCGCGTGGCAAGCACTATTTACTGAAATTGTGACATTATTTCAGACGTAATGTAGCTTCGATTTGGAGGAATGACGAAAGAATTGCGTTGTTACGTGCAATTTTCAGCTAACGTGTCACAGTGCGTTTCGAAACTACCCTTTTTGACCAATGTGCTGTTTATTAACCATCTGGCTATGTTTTTTTCTTTTCAATTCGCGAGGCAAGCACCATTTTACTGAAATTGTAACATTACTTTGGACATGATGTAGTCTCGATTTATCAACGTTTAAAGAAACGTAGCTTAAAGAAATTAAATTGAAAATTCGAGTACTAAATTTCGTAGGATTGCTGTCTATCGCTTTTTCTTTTCAAGAAACAGAAGTCGTAACTTGTACGAATGTGTACGTCGATATTATAAATTATAAGGCGAGGGGTTGAGCGAGTATTGGTGCAGTGAATTTGGCGAGAGCGCAGTCTGAACATTACGTAGAAACAGTCTGAATATTACGTTTTCTGACGCGTACGACAAGACGCGCCTGTAGGAAATCCCATCTTTATACAAATCGTCCAGAATACAAACGTGGCGAACGAACTCGCATCCCCGAGCGAACGGGATGTCGCGTCGGTATCCGATCTCACGTCGCGTCAAACGTGTGCGTTCGCATCTCGATGTATGTATCTCGGTACGCGTTTTCCACATTATCTGCCCGTATCGAGCCGTTGCAGCCGATACACGTGTTTCCGTCACGGTTCGCGAGCGATTCGTGTACAGTCCCGATTTTACGATCGTCCCGAGGAGATCGACACCGGCGACCGGCCGCCCCCTCGGCGCCCATTCACTTTCGTGTCGCCATTCAGAGATATTCCAGAGAGGATTCGGAGACCCGATGGTACATGGAGGACCGGTCGATGAAGAAGGGGGCGAGAACGAGAAGTCGATACGATCGCGATGCCTGGCTTACTACACAACCGGTACAACGAGGACTGGTTTTTCGTCGCGTACGGAGGTCGTCCGATGCTTTTTGTCGCCCTTTTAAGCCGGCCACGGTGCGCGGCCACGATAAATAAACACGGTAGCCTCCACTCGACGGCTTCCGCTCCGATTCGATCCCCGATAAAGGCGGCCCCGTTCGCGACCTATCACCAGGACGCATCGCTTCTCTCCGCTCGGAACGGAGGATGGAAAAAAAGGAAGAATTCGCGTCTTCCCGAACGATACCAGTCGGGTCGTATTCAATGCCACATCAGATGTTTATCTGCGCGTCTTTCATTTCCGATTCGATTCTGCTTGTTTCAGATTCTCTCCTTACCGATTTTACACACACACACACACACATACACGTCTGTTAAACTTCGTTTGTTCAATGTATTCGAGGAAACTGCACTTTGCAGATTTTATGCAACCGAGTATGAATGATTCTACATCGTTCTTGAGACACACTCTGTTGCATATGAGACGTACAATTAGATCAGTTAGAAGCAGATTACACGTGAAAACCTAGGAGTCGCTTAATCGTTTCACTTTCGCGCCGGATCGCGTTACCGATATATATTAATTCATTGCCATTTGTCAGAATCGCGGATACGTCGGGAACACTGACTGTTGCGCCGCTGCGAGAACGACGATTAAATTGCATCCACGTCGTAGAATTCGAGCGTTGCCCGCGCGGAACGCGTGTAATCAGCCTGCCAGATAAATGATCCGAGGTCCCAGGTGAGAGGGACGAGCAGAAGAATAAATGACGCTCCGACTTTGACTCTGTGAGACATGCCCGTGGAATGCAGCCGTTTCTAAGCGGCGCGCCGTGAAAATTTAAGAGCAACGATCCAACAGAATGAGCCACGCTCGTGTGTCGCTAACAAATGCTCTCGCGGGTCGCCTGGTATGCATTTCTTTTTCACGGCGATATTAGAGATTAACCTCGTGGCGTGGCCGACCAGCTGTCGACGACTCGAGTAACGCCGCGATAAATGCCGATCCTGATTCTGTGCCTCGGTTCCCAAACTCGAGCAGAACGACGGCAGCAAGAGGCTCACGCCACAGAGAGAACAGCCGCTTCCGTGGAATTCCATCAAGATTTTCGTGGGCACGAAGCGAAATTAGTCACGCGGATTTAGCTATGGTTCTGGTGCCAACGGCTCGCTCTGAATGCATCGATTTGTTCTACCAGGGAGAACATGTTTCGTGCACGAACCTCGTTCGTGACATCGACGTCCGAACGTTTCTTTTCCGCACGGTCGCTCGTTCATTGAGAATCGAAAGTTAGGCACGTGATCGTCGTAGCTTACGGTAATCGAGAACAGGAAAACTGTGGCATTCATTAAGAATTTAGAGATAGATCTGCATTTATGCGATCTATGTCGCTTACGACAATCGAAAACAAGGAACGACATAGATTACAGAAACCTATGAGGAAATTGAGTCCTGTGGCACTCATTGAGAATCTAGAGGTGGATACGTATTTTACGGAGTCGTCGAGTGAATGCGTTTTATGCGGTCGTTGTCGCTTATAGATAATCGGGGACAAGAAATGACAGAAACATTACAGAAACCTATAAGAAAACTAGGCGAAAAGATTGGCGTGTAACGCGCCGGGACACGCCACTTTTGATTGAAAATCTTTCGCCCGGGTTCAGGAGGTTATCTCGGCAGATTATGCTTGTAGGTCACTGACTAGAATCGTAGTTTGCAACTTGGTTTTTCTGTGTCAATCGCGTCCCAATCTTTTCCTCCTCGAACTCGTTGTGAATAACATAACGTTTGGGGGAAATATGTTTTGTAATTTATGTTCACTTTCTTAAAAGTATCTAAAAAGTATCGCGTTTAAGTTGTCACAAACGAATTGATCTGTAGAGAAGGATCGAAAAAGTCAATAATCTTTTGAACAGATTTGAAAACATGGATTGTACAACTGTTTCGAGAAATGTTTTTACATTACAAGTCCCGATGAGAGCAGATAAATAAATATTCTCAAAAATAACAGTTTCAGACAGAATTTATAAAATGTAAAAGCAAAAGTTCTTCTGTCGGAGAAACAGACAAGCTTAAAAAAAAGTTTTTAATATTTGTAGAAAATGGGTGGTCACAGAAGTGTCTTATTCTCAAATTCCTTCTAATTGTTCTTACTGTAGTAGAATGACTGTAGTAGAATAGCAAATTATGTAATATAATCCTTCGATGAGTATTTTATTCAAAAATGAAAAATCTTGTCACACTGAAATTTTAAACTCGTAGCCAGAAAATTATCGATAAATAAATCAGCAATCTTTTATTTCATTTGCGACTAAGCAATACGCGCGTCCAAATTTGCCATCTAATTATCTATAGCTAAACGTTGCAGATCGTGTGAACTTCATCTAAATCTACGTGCTCCTAAAACCCAGCGACAAATTGTTGCGGCGGCGAATCCGCCAGAAACTGCTAATCTGCACGAGGCCTAAAGCAGACGGCACCTGGCGGAGCGTGCAGTCGCATTTCCGTTGCCGGATCACGGACAAATCCGTGGTGAATCTCGTTCTGCACGGAGTGCGTGCACCTGTCGAGCGTGCAACGCGAGTTTCAAATTTCTCTGTCACTTCTGCGAATTTCGAGATAACACTCTGTATAAGAAGCCCAATATTCATTCAAGTCGGTACCTTGCCGAACCACACAGTATTTTTAAAGAGTCAGTCATTACAACTTTCATGCTTTAACTTTTCTATAATTAATCGTGAATAGCAGACAACTCACGCCCGCTGTAAGAAAAAAATGCGTTTTCTTTTATCTCAAAGTCAGAAATACGATTCCTGACATAAATTGATTGTGAGAGTTCTCCAATATATATATATATATATATACAGGGTGTTTCGTAACTCGTGGGACGCACTTCGGGAGCTGATTGCACTTAAAAATAATGAAAGAAAGTCATAAATATATGTCCTATCTGTCTTCGTTTATGAGGTATAATGAATTTTCTGTTTTAATTACTTTTACAAAAGATGCTCGAAATGACCACNTCGTAGTATTTCAGCATTTTCAATCGATGTTGCGTGTACAATAGATTTTAAATGTCCCCACAAATGAAAATCTAATGGATTCAAATCCGGAGAACGAGCAGACCATGCAATAGGACCTCCACGACCAATCCATTTATTTGCAAAGTGTTGATTTAAAAATTTCCTAGCCACTCGGCTAAAATGCGGCGGAGCTCCATCATGCATAAACCGCATATAAAGTCTAATATCGACTGGAACTTCCTCTAATATTTCGTATAAACGCGTGCTCAAAACATCAACGTACTTTGTGCCTGTTAGTTTCCCATTAAGAAAAAAAATGTCCAATTAAAAATTTATCAATTATTCCTGCCCATACGTTTAAACTAAACTGGTGTTGATGTCTTGAATGCGCAATAACGTGTGGATTTTCTTCATCCCAATTATGATTATTATGAAAATTGAATATTACCATCCCTGGTAAAACTAGCTTCATCAGTGAAAAGTATGGTAGATACTCTCTTCACGTTCACACATTTGCAGAAACCAAGTACAAAAAAACGAAAGACATCAAGTAAGTATTATTTGTAAACAGTGCGAATTCTTGCTTACGAACTATTGGGGGTCTATGGAAAGAGTGGCCGGACAGAGAGTTTGCTCTGTTTATAAAATTCGTTATATCTCGTAAACAAAGACAGATAGGACATACTTGTACGACTTTTTTTCATTATTTTTCGACGTACAATCAGCTCCCGAAGTGGGTCCCACAAGTTACGAAACACCCTGTATATACTTTTGGAGTAATCTCCTCTTGTCACGTGACACGAGCAACGGCCACAAGAAAGGGACGAGAGGAAGTGAATCGCGTGGTCAAGCCCGATCGCGATAACCGGAATTTCTTCCTGCCGAAGATCACTCTCGATGGAGTGACCCTTGACATCTCGCAACCCACCAACTTCCCGCCTTCCACCACGCCTCCCCTCTGCTTCTCGTTTTCTTTCACCGTGTTACCTTGGCACCGTGAACGTCGGCGCGAAAAAATCCCGCTCGGAATTCGAACGCGTCGGTACCGCGTCGACAGACAATGAAATTCCTCCTAGTTATTATCCATCGTCGTGCAGGCATGCGAAGATCGTTGACGAACAGAGCTGATCGGTTACGAGAGCAGATGGTAAATAATCGAAAGGCAAACAGAAGAAATGAAAACGGGAGCCTCGACTCTACGACTTGCATCGTTCGTGTCAAATGGTTGGGTAAACAGTAACCGAGGGAACGGGTTCGGTCGGTAACGGGTTCTCCAGGCTGTTTGATCAGCGATCCAACGAATTCAATAATTAAAGGCCTGACTCGATAACGAATCTAATTGATCTCGAGGATCACAGAAAGTCGTTCGCGGTTTCTTTCGATTTTTAATGAACTCCTTGCCGATCGTCTGCGTTTGTTTGCGTGTGGAGAATTATGTCGTAGCTAATTTCCATTTCTATCGCAACGGAGGAACACGGTGCGTTGTGAATGTAACGTCGACTCGTATTCCACGACACGCCTTGCGTGAGCAATCATCAATTTAGGGGATCACTCGCAATACAGGTTTCCAACTTTGAGAAGTTGCTTCTAGCGTCTTACAATAGAAGAATGCGTAAATTGAACAGGCAGAAAAGTACAAATCATCGTAAGCTAAAGTTTCATTTTCAATAGCAAATTTAATTCCCAAATTAAGGGATCAATTTTGAAATTATTCGGTTAATCTTTCAATACATGTTCGTGCATTCTGGTCTTCTGGATTAATTTTTAGTGATGACGTGTTTAATGATCTTAGATTTAACGATTTAAAGAATTTCTGATCGACTTAATTTTTCTTTTGTCATCTGTCCATAAGTGCAAACGTTCAATTTTGAATTTATTTTAACACTTAAATATTCATTCTATTATAGCACTTTGCTTCTTTCTTTATGTTACCTGTATTCCGCAACTGAGTAATATTTTGCGAAATAAATATTTTAAACAGTATTTAATATTTTAGATTCTGTTCAGTTTAAATAAAATAGATAAAATAAATTAAAATAAATTTAAATATTTTCAATACTCTTTAAGGATAATACTACTTTTAAATTCTAAAGATTTACTGTATCAAAGTAATATATACTATTATTTAAGTAATATACTATTTTTAAATTTTAAAGATTTACTGTATCAAAGTAATATATACTATTATTTAAGTAATATACTATTTTTAAATTCTAAAGATTTACTATATCAAAGTAATATATACTATTATTTAAGTAATATATTATTTTTAAATTTTAAAGATTTACTGTATCAAAGTAATATATACTATTATTTAAGTAATATACTATTTTTAAATTCTAAAGATTTACTATATCAAAGTAATATATACTATTATTTAAGTAATATATTATTTTTAAATTTTAAAGATTTACTGTATCAAAGTAATATATACTATTATTTAAGTAATATACTATTTTTAAATTCTAAAGATTTACTGTGTCAAATAAAATATTTTATTTCCAGAGTTATACGTATGCCTTAAAATAAGTAGGATTATTCGCTATTTACTCTATTCAAAATAATATTTTATCCAGCTAATTTTCAACTTGTGTCTCTCAATTACAACATAGAATCAATGCTCGCTAATTATTTGATTTGTACTCTTTCGCTCGCCCATCGGGAAGATTTATCTTTCATAGTTTCGAGAGAAACGTAGTAAAGATGCTCGCGAGAGGTTTCGCGATGGAAAATGCCGATGAATTTTGCACATAATTTTATTGTTTCGTTATCAAACGCGGTGCACCGGCACCGTATTACGCATTCACAATCCTTTGGCTTACAGATATACACGTTTACAGCTTACGTAAAATCTAATACCGTATTTTTTTCTTTCTTTTTCTTCTTTATGTGTTTTGCTCTTTTGCATCATTGCTCTGCACCTATGTCTGAGATATGTTAAAGGCAGGTACAGGAGATACGTCGGTGAACACTAAAGAGGTACGATATAACACACTACGAGTAAATCTCGCATTCGACGCGGTGTATCATAGAAAAAAAGATATCTCGCGCGTTTCAAAGGTGTAAATGGTGCAAAAATCTGTGATAAGTGCGCCAGCGTCGATTAGAATTTTTCCTTCCTTATCACGGCACCGATACGCGTGGTGGTGGTGGTTCACGTCCGGGATGCGAAATTAACCGGGAGTGCGCGCCTGTTATGAGAACGCGTCTGAAAGAAAAACATCGTCAACTCGTTCGCTAAAACAATTTAATTTTCAATTATCGGTAAAATCGAGCAATGACATGGCCCAACTATCGTAACGCCGTTCCGGTATGTTATATCCTACTCTAATCGTTTTAATACGTTTGCTTAATGAATCGAAACAAGCGCCTCGCCGCATTTTTCTATCATAGAAATCTACAAAAAAAAAAAAAAAAAAAAAAAAAAACGGGTCGACGAGTGAAGATCGGAAGAAGACAGCCGTTTTGTTTGGAAAACGGAAGAAAGCAATGGGCACGATGTCCAAGTGCTCGCAAAGCAGGGGCGTCGCGTCGCGATCGACGTGGGAATCGTATCGTATTCCTAAGAAAGCTTCCTTAAAATACTTAGAAAAAACGTTTGCGAATAAAGCTTACACGCTAAAAAGTACACGTTCACGATCGATACTCTAACGGGGAACGTCCGATCGTTTGCAAATCGAGAATGCTTTTTGATTACGAAATTTTGACGATCGTTGATCGGCGATTCGGCTCGCGTTTCGTCAATCTCTCTCGCATCTTTCCTTCGTCGTGGGGCAAAAATCCCCAATCCTCCGTCCCTCAACAAGCCCCACGAGCATACGCGAAACGCGACGAGAATTGTTCAAACCGTTCACAATATCGTCGATAGGAAAGCGGTGATGAAGGTGACGGTAATCACGACGGAAGCGACGCTGACGCTTGACGCTCCGGAGTAACGAAGCTTGTTCAACAGATCTTGCGGCACGTCGACGAACACCTTATTCACTCCGACCTCGCGTATCAGCTGCGATAACTTTTCCGGGTCGACCTTGTCGCCCTCGCTCGACCAAACGGTCAGGGTTGCGTTCTTCATCTCGGAGCTCTTCTCCAACAGCGACTTGATCACCTGAATGTCGTTCGCGGCTAGACCGGCTCTTACCGGGTAAGTTATCGGCTGGGTAATCTTCTGCCTCTTCACGGTGTCAATCATTTCCTGAATTTGCTTCTCCGTGTATCGAGCCTCGGTGATATTGTCCTTGGCGTCGTACCTGAAACGCGAATCGATGAGAAATCTCGAAATCATCCCTCGGAGTTTTGCTACCATTGGTAGTATACTATACTACTACTCGGCGTTGGAATTTCTCGCTCTCACCTGGTGGTCCAGCCGACCGACAGCGTGTACTCTGGATACGTCTTGGCTTCCGTGAGGAAAGATTCTGCGTTGACTGGCACGACAGTCGCGTTCCCTGGCCCAGCGAGTATGTCCGCGTTGAGAAATACGGGGAACTTGATCTGCGAAGGGAGAAGCTAGCCGGTTAACATCAAGGGAGAAAAATGCAGATACTGGCAACGCAAGGCTACAAACAGGCTGCGAAGAATTCCCGATCGAGAGAAACGCGTGGCCATCGGTAATCGAGGCAAAAATAACCGCCAACGCTTTCTGGTATACCGTTTGACGGTGGCGATCGGTGAAACGAGGCGCGAAGGACTCCGCAAAGATGCACACGTCGGTCTATAAATACAACGGACGAGATACGTACGTTGCTGCGAACTCTGTCCAAGATAGGCTTGCTCGCGTTGAAGGCCTCGATGCTCTTGAAGTCTAGCTTGATGCCCTTGCTAACGTTCTTCGCGATCACCTTGTCGAGGAATTCCTCCAGAGTTAGGTCGCTCGAGTTTGCCGGCGGATGTGCCATTATCGGTGTCGTACTGTTCGCTGCTATCGTAACGTCCGCCTCCAGCATCATGATGTCGGCTTTAAACAGGAGAGGCAAGTTTGTAGCAAAGCTGCATGCAGCTTTCGGGTACGAAAGGGAGAGAGACAGGAAGAAGGTAGAGGAGGGTGGTACGTTTGAGAAACGCGATGAGGTTACTGCGGCGGTGAAAAATTCTTTAAAATATCGCGACAAAGCGTGTCTCAGATATCGCTTTGGCCGTACGTTGAAACCGCTCGAAGCGTTTAACGCCGATAATTAAAATCGAGCTTGCGCGACTCGCTGAAGGCAAGCGACACTTTGACGAGATTCTTTGAGAGAAATAAACTTTTCATCGTTTGTGTCTCTTGTGTATCTTGCGTTCTTTTCGCATCTGATCGCCAATTGCTCGCGGTTATCTCGCGTTTGGAAGGATGTTAATCGGATGTTAATTATCGACGGGACGTTGGAAATTCAATCCCGAATCTTGAGAACACGATTTAAGTCTCTCGCGTTGCTTGGTAACCAAACGCGGTGCAAGTATCGTTCGAGATGTGCCACTCGCACGGCATTAAAGCCGACGGAGCGAGACGCACAGGCTCGAACACGATATCGCGACTCTCGGGAATATTTTCGCGAAGCTGGTCGATAGATGGACGGAATTTCATCGCGAAGCGCTGCGTAACGTCGCCTCGACCAATCTATTCATCGTCATCGAGATCTCGTCAAGAGATAGCCAAGAGTGGAGCGAAACCACTTCAATTACGCGATCGACCTACCTGTGTCGAGCACCTTCTCGAGTTTGGACTTGTTGTTGACGGCATGGGCCCAGACGATCTTGGTGAGATTGCCGTTGATCTGGGGAAAGAAGGTGGCCACATCCACGGTGCCGTTATTTGCGCACATGGCAGCTTCTGAAACAGGCAAACGTCGCCGTCTGGTTAAAGGTGAACGCGAGACTTTCCGCATTAATATTCTCGAGGCCCCACTCGACCTTTGACCCAATATTCGCCGGGGTCGCTCCATAATTGAGCGGACTGTGAATTCCTAGCAAACCAGCGGAGGATAGGAGGATCCGGAGGAGAGGTTTTTGGGGGAGGGGTTGGATGACGGAGAATCTCGCCCTACTTCGCTCATTGTGCCTCGAAAGATCGATAATCACATTCATTCGTTACCGTCGTTACCTTCTTCGCCATTGTGTCGGGGATAGTTTACGCGACTGCTCGGAAACACGATGAAAAGAAACAACAACTTCGACTTCTCGACACTCTTCTCTTCCCCTCCTACCGCCGCCCGTTGGTTCGTTCGTTTCGCGTTGCCGGACGACCTATCGTTCGAAACAAAGATTCCGAAACGAGTGTCGTTTGCAAACGTAGCAGTTTATCCAGGATATCCAGCAAATTTCACTCGAGCAAATCGATACGGGACGAATTCCCGATACAATAGTTCCAACTGACCCGTTTCCGGTTCAGCGGACGCGTGCAGGGAGGATTGGTTCTACGCGTTGGTCGATCGGTTATCGGGTCGCGAGAGAAAACTGTTCGCTCGTTGGTTTGCTTGTTTTTTCTTTTTTCTTTTTTTTTTTTTTTAAACACACGTGGAGCAAGACGGTGAAGATCGACGTTACCGAAAAAAATGATCAGATTTGTTCGTCGATTCTTGGAAAACGCGTTAAACACGGTTGAGAAACGGTCTCGGGGGAACTTAAACGGTATGTTCTTTTCGAGAAAGTTTTATTTGCCGAGAAGTTGCTCGCAGCGTTATTTTCAGAGATCGAGCGAGATCTAATATTGGTGTGCCGCGCTTTGCGCGTGAAAACTATCGGTGTGACAGTGTGCCGTCGGTGTGTTGAGAAATAGCCGGTATATAAAAAAAAAAAAAAAAGAAAAAAAAGGAGAATATTCTATCGACCGGTCTTTTATTCGAGTTATAAATAATACAGAGGGCCCGTGGTCGCGCGATTATGCGAGTGTACCGAGAACGAAGAAGTGCAAGCGCAGCGGGTAGTGACGCCTTCTTAAAATCCCGCTATCGCGATTTCTGCATCCGCGAGTCCGTTTTCCATGAAATCCGTCCTCGCGGCGAATATCTCTGCTGCGACACTTCCCGACCGACTTTTTCGTTTCCAAGTCATCGATTCCGTACAGTGGACGACGCGTCGGGGAATCGGTCGTCGACCAGGCTTTACCAAGAAGAATGCAACACCGGCCCATTCTTTCCTCTCTAGAATGGTTGCCCGTTCTTTGAACCGGCACACCAGCAGCACACGCCTAGAGTTCGAGGCGAGATTGACCTCGAACGAGCACGAGTCACACCAACGACGCTCTAATTGGCTGAACAATCGATCGTTTGTCTCCTAGAAGTACGACGGTTTCTGATAATGCGTCATCCTCGCGTGATATTCATTCCCGGCTCGTCGTGCTTTCCTCCTTCGCCGGATGAGAAGTCGTTTCCCCTCTGATTGTGAGTCATTCGACAAGAACGAATTGAAATTGAAGTAAGAATAAACTGAAGTACACGGTCGAACTTTCGTTTCGTCGAGTTTCACCATGTTTAGACGGTATGTCTCGCCTTCTGGGAAATATCGAATACGATAGTTTTCATTTCGTCGCGAATTTCGAGGATCTCGAGACGATGATCACGTTTGTTTCTCGTCGGGAGTTCGGTGAAACTTCCGCTTTGTTTATCGAGGGACACCGATGTACGAGTTAAACAGCAACTCGGTCCCCTCAAGTGAAAGCTGCTTTTACGCCGGTAAAGTAGTCACGGGACCGGACTAGTTGGCACAGCCCTCGGCTACTTTCCACGAGCTTAGACCGGAGTTTCGCAGACGCGCGGATTTCCGGCGGAATTTGCCGGAATGGTGGCCGGTATCGAGCCGGTTGGACGACTCTCTGACTTATAGCTGAACGGTAATCGAACACGGGGCTCGAGTCCGACTTCCATTCGCAGCTAAACTATCGGAAATTCCAATTTCCACGGTAATCGCCGATCGGATTTCAGCGAAAATCAAGGTCCCGATCGTGTCCGTCAGTCTCGACGCCAGTACCTTTCCGCCGCGTAGATACGCTCGCTATAAACGATAAACACACGAGCCACTTTAAATATCGACTGTGCTTAATTTATTTGACGCGCAATTTATTTGATGGACGTGCGATGAAACGTCGCCGATGCAACGACAAACACGTCCGTAGCCAGGACTTTGCAAGCCAGCCCCGTAGAATTTCCCACAAGGTCATCAAGCATCGATGAAACATCGATCCGATGAGAAATCGTCGTGGCCGAGGCTTCGTCGACGTTGACGCATCGTAAAACTCGCGCCATCAAGCTTAAAAGAGACGTCTCCGCTACCCTGCCGATGACAAAGTAGTCTTGATACGATAATAACGCGATAGATTATATACGCGTGATCTATTTCCTACGATGCGATACTGTATATAAGTTTGTTGGTACCGCGTGATACGTGACACCGGGCAGAAAGGATTCGAAAACGTTCCAGGCCCGCTCCTATCGCGATTTCGCAATCAAAAGGTGATATCTGCCTTTAGATAAGTCGCGTGATTTAACCTCTTGCGCTGGAATGCGAAACGTGCCACGCGCACGCCGAGAATCTTTTGTCCCAAAATTACAACATTTTCTCAGTTTTGCGTATGTTGAAGTATGAAGTAAGGCAACACAAATAATAAACTTATTACTTCTTAGTAATTTCTATCCAGTGATATACCGATGAATTCAAAAAGAGGACGAATTATTGTATAATAATATGTCACTCGTTATGGTCCAAGTTGTCAATCAGTTGCCAGCGCAAGTGTTTAAATTCGACTCGTGCCACATCGCGTATCACCAGGTAAGCCTAACTCGTTCCGATATATCAGCCGTGTTTCGAAACTCGGTCGCGTATCCCGAGTCACTGAAACACTTCACCGAATAATCCTTGTCCAAACAACCGATGCTCACGTATAGAAACTAGTTATAGATACCGGCAGTATCGTCATCAAAAGAATTATCTTCGATATTTTTCACGCGACAGGTCCGAAATCAGGTGGGCAGCCGCTTATGCAACGAGACTAAGCATTTTCGTGAGCAAATATACATCGTGTACACGTGTGTATCGCGGATACGTTCAATACCATCTGAAGAAATACGATCAAGGTTCGCGAAAAATTGATGGAACTCATTTTGCTCACGTCTCGTTGTGAAATCGTTCTCAACGCGATCCGGATTTCATCCATAATCTCCATACTTGCGAAGGACGTATCACGTATCATCATTTCGCCGGGAATGACGCTTAAATTTACACGCGAAACGACACGTTACGACTCTAAGCTCCTGTTATATCCGTTATCAGGTAGGCGGCTATGACTACGCGACGTGAACTTTATCACGGACAAATATTTTTACATTAGTATTTTTCTTATTCTATCGAAATTGGAACACGGCTCTCGAGACTGATAAGACGCTATCGAGGGTTACACCGTATGAGTCACTTTTGCTTGATATACGTAGATAAGAGTGCAAGCCTCCCTACCTAACTCGGTAAACAGTGTAACGCCTTACGCAAACGAATCCCGGATTCCGTGGAATTGAAAACGACGACGCCATTATTAGCGTTACAATTAACAACTTGGTTGTAGAAGGTTACGAAAGACAATCGATATCGTCGAGTTTTCTTTTCTTTTTTTTTTTTTTTTTTTTTTTTTTTTTTTTCGCGCGCGCGTTGTACCATTTTTCGTCCGTGCTGCTTTCCTCTCGTTTGACTCGTTATTTCCGTTAGCTGGCTAGCTGGCAGTCGTAGTCGACAACTTTCTCTCGGTGTGTTACTTATTTATTTATTTATTTTTTTGCTAAATTTCTGCTCTACTAAAATCCGTTTGACACGGTGACATTCAATTTTCAAGAATCCATCCGTGGTCACGAATGCGCAATGTCACGCGGTTGCTCTCTCTCTCTCTCTCTCTCTCTCTCTCTCTCTCTCTTTGTATTTCCAGGGATCTCTAATAATATTTACAGCAAACGATACGCGACCGTGTCGACGCTTTCCATAGCCCGTTTATAAGTGACAGTAGCTCGTTAATTATTCCGCTAACGCGCACCTCATATTTATTGTTGTTAAATAGAAAATTTCACGTATCGATCCGGGACCGGGTCAATTAGGCTAATTAGAACTATTAATACGTCGTTAATGGGGCACGGTCATGCGAAGATTAAATTTTTCACCGCTAATTGTCTGCGTGCTTATCTCGATCGTCTCTACACCCCTGTGCGTAATTATCCAGGGAATCTCGCAGACGTGCCCCTTTGTCCATCCGTGAATACACTCGAGCGTCAACGTCTCAATTTGCTCGCGAATTACGACGAGCTGTTAAACGAAGCTACGAGAAAAGAAGCGGAATTTCGGGAACAAAACAAGGACAAAGACTGTTGTCTCGTTGTATCGCTTGCGTTCGAAAGCTGTAGCCCGTTGGCCGATGATATTGTGAAAAAATGATAGCAGGAAATCTTTCCTCTTGATGATTCCCTTTCCTTCCTCTTTTCTCGGCCAGATCGCGAAGCGTCTTCGACGATAACGATTGTTGCTGCAAGAACGATAACTGCGCGCCTCGCAGAGAAAATACTTTCCACCTCTCGCCAGTTCTCTGACGAATTCTGTCTGCCGAGACGAGAATCATCATTCACGGAGAACTGGCGGGATCAATCGAGCCCGAACGTTTATTCTCTGACGAGTGAACGACGAGAGAGGGCAAGAGGAACGCTATAAACAGCTTATTTACGTACTATTTTTGCGCGGTACGCTGGTTCGCATATCCAATGGAACGGTAATCTATTTTTAAGAGGGGTCCGCGATACAAAGAACCGCGTTGCGCGGTTAAAAAGCGCTGGAAAATACCGATAAGCCGGCGGAAAACGAAGCGGAATCGCGGGGCAAGAACACGAGGAAGGAAGGTAGCCGTAGGAGAAGGATTGTTGCAAGTGAGAACCAGGTTACGCCCAGCGTGTACGTTTGCTTTTCGAAGTTAATCGCGTTTTCCCTCCAGCGTGTACGACGACAGAACGACGGAACGACAAACAAACGAGCCGGAGCATTAAGAATCAATTGATTAATCTCGCGGTTTGCCGGCCGTGCGAAATGAAATCGAAAACGTTCGAGCGTATTCTCACGCGAGAGATTTCGTCTCGCCTGTCGAAACGCGGAGAATCGTCAGCGATTTGAAGCGTGCATATCGGACGAAAATCGATTGATCAGCCAAGGGGTTCCAAGCGGACAGAATTTTACCTCCTTTTGCCGAGACGTTCCGAGAGAATACAACGAGCAAGCCCGAACATTGAATCCTCTGCGTCGTTGTTTTCAAACCAACGAATCCGCGAGCCGCGAGCTTAATTGCGCCAATTTGCGACACACTACGAAATCCCACGTTTCCTCTCGAATCTCGATCGCGATCGAGTATAAACGGATCGCGGACACGGGCTGGCGGGCACGAGCTTCGAGAACAATTCCGCGCCGCGATTGATCGCGATTGATCGCGGAGCGAAGGAGAGAAATGTGCAGAGACTTACGGATCAGCGCCAGGAAGAGAAGACTGGTGGCGGTGGTTGTCGTGACACTCTTCATGGTCCCTCGCGGTGAACACTGTGCACGCGTAGAGAAGAAAGAGAAGGCGAGACGATGAGATAGGCGCGCGCGAACAGCGTGCGGCCGAACGGCAAACAGGCTGGCTACTTCGGAAAAGAAAGAGGGAGAGGGCAGAACCGGTACGGCTCTGGTTGCTCAACGACACCCGGTCAACTCGGCAGCCTCGAAACGACTGACTGTCGTCCCGTGGCGTCGATCGATCCTCGAAATCCAACCGTATACAATACGAAGCCGCGTGCACGGAGCTGCCGCCGCGCCACACCGCGCCACTACGCTCCACACCGCTTCGTTCCGCTTCGCGCCGGCCGCACCGCTCCGTTCCTGCCTATATTTCTCGCAACGCGTACAGGACAGGACCCATGGCACGCACACGTGTCCCAGACACTTCACGGTCCCAGACAGTCGGTGAAACGTGGCGTGAATAACAAACCGTGGGAAGGGGGAGGAGCAGGTATCAGGGGGAGCAGAAGCTGCTACGCTCGTTCTTTCTCCCTCTCGATGCGCGAACAGGGGCAGGATGCGTGGATCGAATTAGAAGCCGCTTCGCAGAAAGAAAGGACTCGCAGCGTGTTTAGCGCGCCGCGCGTTTATTGCCCGTTTCCGGTACGCCACACCACGCACTCTCCCCTAAATTCAATTTCCTGATTTCCATGCGACTCCCGAAAATTCTTCCTGCCGATTCTCGTCTCCCGAAGTTCTAACGTTCTTTCTCGCTGCGAAGACGCGTCCAAACGATGAAGCACGTATGCAGCGAATCGAAGGTCGTCAGAGGCGGAGGGAATTTACGCCATGTGCGTTAACCATGTAGCTCATAGTATTTTGCAGCGAATTCGACTGCTTCGTTGCTGGCGCAAGACCAGAGAGGTAAAGCGAAGCTCGACGAAACTAGATGGCGCGTTATCAGAAAATTGTTCAAACAACGAGTATAATTGATATCGGATCGAGGCCCTCGAACGACGTGCGCCAGGTAGTCGAAGCATCTGTGCAAACGATATGTATATATATTTGTGAAACGATGTACATATTCGCGAGCAGTCACGGAAGCGAATTTTCGTCGATTAACCCGCCGCGACCACCGATACATCATCCACCCCGGATTCATTCTACTCTCTCACGCGCATTCCCGATTCGAGTAATCGATAGTTCCCGATTAATCGCCCGTCCTGTTGGAAGGTTTCATTTTTCGGCTTGGGCGATCACGCTCGCCTCGAAACCTCGATGCACCGCGTCAAAGCGAAACGGTTGTGAAAGACGCGCGCATCCTGCCGGTGAAACGGTATCGCTTAGGCCTGTTATCGTAAAAATCCCGCCGGGGATACCCGAGTGGACGTGTCGATCGTGATTTCGACGAAAGAGAATGCCACGATGCAACCTAACTACCCTCTCCATTTATTTGTCCCCGACGCGTTGATTCATTTTTAATTCGCAAAGCGAGATTATTCAACCACTTGCGCTGGCAACTGATTGCGGACCATAACGAGCGACCCGAACCGTGTACAATAATTCGTCGCTTTCGTTTTCCTTTTGAACTCGTCGCCACGATATCACTGGATAGAAATTATCGATTGATTTTGTTTCTATTTTGCCTGGGTTACACTCAGACGTACTTAAAACTGAGAAAATATTGCAATTTTGGTATAAATATTGTCGACGTGCGTTGACTCGAGTTTCGTTTCGTGCACGAAAAGATTCGAGCAATTACGACACGCGCGCGGCCCTGTCATTAGCATTTTAAAACGCAGCCGGCCGCAGTTTGACGAAAAATTTGCCACTCGACGCGACATGTGTTCGGCACGCGAGCCCTAAACGAACCATAAACCCGACGACAGGGGTCGTTTCTCGGATCGGCCGAGGGGTCAGGCCTGAAACATCTGTCGAGGGTTCGCGATCGGGGAGGGTAAACGAGCAGTGCCAATTTCGCAGAACGTTCTGCCATCGTTTTCAGTCGCTTCGATTCCACTGCCTCTCGTGTATTTTTTTTTTTTCCTTTCTTTCTTCTTCTTCGTCTATCTTTTCCGTCGTGGCGTAGCTCGAAGGAAATTTACGAAACGACGAGTCATCAATACGGTTCGCGACTCTTTGTTATTGCATAGACAGACGTGTTAGCAAATTTATGCGCCAGCCGAGTCGTGACGCGAGTCCACGGAAAAAAACTAGTTTTTATCTCGCTGGTTGAACGTCGAGCGTGCATATCGAGTCGAGGAACCGTACACTCGATGGATTTTATCACTTATTGTTAGTTAATTTCTCGATATGAACGCCTCTTGAAAGATTAATCGTTCGAAAACGATTAATTACAATAATCACGTAGGTTTAATGAAGATAGAGATACAGATCTCCTCGATAAAAAAACAACGTTGAACGACGTGGATGATAATTTATCGAACGACTCGTCAGTCTTATCAGCTTTGTTTTTGCCAATAGTGGTAACAGTTAACCACTTGACGAGACGAACGCGAAGAAAGAAAGGAAAAGTGAAAGAGAAGAAGAGGAGCGTAATTATGGGTGGACCGTGGTGGCTGTCGGAACGAGAGGTCAGCCTCGTTGATGGGTTAATTTCTTGCGCGGTCGTCACGCGATTTTTGCGGAAAGGACGTGATATTTACCAAGCCGTGGTAATTGCGGCTCTTTTTGATGCTCCCGAAAGTTCGGCAGCTCGAAACGGAGGGGATGCACGAGCTTGCTTCGACGAAATAACCGAGCGAAACTCTTGGGAAATTTGCTCCGCTCTCTTTGGTCTCTTCTAATCTTCACGCTGGAGGAAATGACCGTTTGCGTTATTTTATTCAGACTCGCGCGAACTCTAAAGTTCGATCGAGGCAAGTGATAGATGGCAGCGAAGGGGGAGGGTGGGAGGGAGGGGATAAGGACAAAACCTCTGACTAAAGACGAATGTTGATTTTTCATAAGTGTTGCGTAATCTACGGGAAGCTCTCGCAACAAATATTCTTCCGGGATTGGAACTTGACAAACATTCGGTATAAGCAGCCTCGTCGTTGAGGTCGGCCGTTTGCGAATCGGCCATAACTCTGGACTTGTCCTTGACTCGTTTCCGGAGCAGAGCGGAGCGGACCACGCGAGCAAGGAAATGGAAATGCATCGGCGCATTCCAAATTTTCCAGGTCGTCGCTGGCTCACCGTGGGCGTGCGTGTATGTGTGTGTGTGTGTGTGTGTGTGTGTGTGTGTGTGTGTGTGTGTATACGTGTGTGGATGCGCCAATACTTGCGCGCACCCTGTACTCAGGGCCGACGCTGTTGAGATACAATAGAAAAATGGGAGTTTCCCCGAGACAATGGGGAATACTCTCCTTTGTAGCGCGAATCGAAGTTTCCCCCCTCGTTTCTCTTCCATTCCTTCTCCCTCTTCCTCTCTTTCTCTCTCTCTTTTTTGCCCGTTACACGCCAAGTCTTTTTCTTTCGCCGTCTGCCGCGAGCACTTGTCGCGAGCTATCCTCTTTAAAGTCCTCCTCCACGGAATCGAAAGACACGGGCCGGCAGACGTGACAATTAGACGTTCCGATGTCTGCTTATGCATTCGTTCGTCGGTTCTTCCCACCGCTCGGAGAAGACGATACCGCCGCCCGTTTCAAAGAAATCAAGGGCAAACAAAGACGGTAACACGGAGCTGTCGGCGGCTCGAGCACGACGGTGCTCCTAATCGCGGATGAGAACTCCGGAGTCGTCTCGCGAGCGAAATATTCCATTCGAAAGAGAAGCGTCTGCATGCAAGAGACGGGAGAGACGTACGACGCTTCGTCGGTTATTGATTCTCAGGGCACTCCACCAGGCTACCGCGAGCGCGGAGAAACGCGAAGGAATTACACCCGCGAGAAACCCACGGCGGCGTAATTAATTTCTTAGCGGCGTCTTCATTTCCATTCGATTAATTTGCAACCGAGGCGACGTTTGCCGCGAGTGTCTCATACGACTCGCGTGGTTCAGATTGGTCGGGGTCAACGATTGCATATGCTGTTGTCCGTTGTTTAACGCGTGCCCGTTACTGTTTCATCGCTGAATGCGCTGAATCATTCATTTCGCCGGTTTATCGGATCGTAAATGAATTATTCTCTGGCTATATTCGCTCGCTACAACGTAATGTCGTCCCCACTATCGCGCGTATCGTATATTTGTGGATCGCCTACCGTGGTACGTTTCTTCTCCTTGCTGGCCCTTGTAAACGCCTCTACTACTCCACCTAGGGCCTAGAGCGACTCGATGGGATTTCGAAAACTCCTCGACGATGAATCGCAATCGACATCGATCGCATGCTCGTGCCACTGCGGTGTCAGATGTTAAGCATCGCTAATGTTAACGAAGAGCGTTACATAAGCGTCGGGATCAATACGGAGCAACGTGTATCTTTTACCAGCAGTTGAAAAGCAAGGCTGACGAGCGCGAGAGATAGAGAGTCGCTAGCTTCTTACTTTCCACGGAACTCGAGAGAATTTGTCTTCGGCAAATGATGGATTTTTCAGAAACAAATCTAATCGCTGGTAGAGATAACATTGAACAGAAAAAATTAGGAAAAGCGATCCGGAGTGCAAATATATACTGTTGCAAAAGTATTCAGAAAAAATTCACGCTATAGACAAAGGTACAACGTTTCCTCGTGCTTTATTCAAATTGAAACGATCAACTCGGCGCGATGAAAAATTCAATTGATCTTTTTTAGAAATTTGAAAAATAGATGACGAGCGTGTCGTTCGTTGTTATCAACGCTCGATGAGTCCGCGTGCGTGGTTACTCATCGACGATAAGGAAGTTAATCCCAAGAGTGTCGCGAATGATTTTTTTGCTTTCAAAGGATTTCGTATCCGATTTTTGTGAAACCGATGCGGGATGCCTGATTAGTGCAACGTGGCAACAGTTGAGAGTTTTTATTAAAATACCATACAAAATCTGAAACGATTAGAAGCTTTTACCGTGTGTTTATAATAATTACTGAATGGAATTACAACTACACGATAATTGCATTTGACCGGAACGTGTTAATTTAAGCCTCGCATCTATCTATCACGTCTGATCATATACTGATCATATATGTTTATAAATCGTTGACGCTCGTGGCAATCTTAAAGACAAGTAATAAACGAGTAAAAAACTTAACAGCTTTCCCGTCGAGTTTTTGGCACTGAAATGGCTTTTCGAACAGCAGGAACATTGATATTGGCGATAAAATGATTATTTGTCGTACGCTAATCGACGACGTAACCGCGCGAAAGTTTGGCACCTATTACATATCATACACTTGTGACGAGGGTGACATAACTCGAAAGACGATGGACTTTGAGAATGTTTGCAGAGATTTTTAAAAAAAGTCCAACTTTATCTTTGTAACATGGCAGGCAAAGTTGTATTATGTCGTTCATCTTGATTCGTATAATACGTTGTATTCTGTAAATTTAGTGTCAATTATGCTTTTTTTTTTATAGGCATATCTTTCTTATCAAAACTTTCAGTCAGTGGAGTAGTTTGATTCATAATATCGTAATAATATTACACCGATGAAATTGATGGTTTCAATAAAAAATTATTAATATTTGCGCGATTAAAGTTTTATTTTGAATGAAAAGTGATTTATATTTTTATGATTGACTCGTGAATATTTCTTGTTGTGACTTTTCGAATTGCACGAAAGAATCTGCAATTGTTGCAGAAACTGTTTCTCACTTTTTCTGGAAATACACTTTCCCAAGTTGTGTCACTTTCGTCACAAGTGTGCCATTTATTGACTCGTTGTCTCCGTTTTTCTTTACTTATATATTCATGAGCAATAACTGATGTCTAGGATTCGGTAATTCCTTGGTCCCATCCACACGTCAAATCACGCTTATTGCGAAAACCGAGCAGAAACATATCGATCGGTGTTCGATTGAAATTGCACCAACGTTAATTTTAAGCATCGTGACTTTTTCGCTTTCATCAGTCTTACGTTTGACTTTAATTGAATGACACAAAGATGGGGAATGTATCGATCTAGCCGACATCTTTTTCTTTTTTTTTTTTTTTTTTTTTTTTTACAACTAAACCAAGGTACGAACCTTGGTTATATGCGCTTCGCTTTGGTTCTAGAGGACGTCAGACAATACAAAAACACAAGGTTCCTTAGCTGAAAATGATAAGAAATTGTATCAGTGGCTCGTGGACTCGAAACGTCACCCGTAAAACGTCCTAGGATATCTGTATTGTTTTTTTACAGATAAACCATCTCGTAGGAATTCGATGGATTTTGCCTGAAATCCAGAAATGTTCGGATCCGGTTTTCACCGACATCGCATTCAAATACTTGGACATCTTATCGTAAAAGGAGAAACCTCCGATCGTTAACCGCATCGACGCTATCCGTCGAACACGCTCGATCGACTAGATTCATTGATAGACACTCTGTTTCTTCTCCTCTATTTTTGATCCTCAAGCTTTGACTGTAGATCCGCGTTGATGGATTCAGTCGAGTTAGGATATAATTTACGATCGTTTCTAACGTGCATATCGTCGCCACCGTTGCTTTTATCCAAGTAAATCAGTTCTGATTTGTCCGCGGGAGCCAATATCTCTTGCTTGACATTCTGTAAAACACGAAATCGTCATAATTATTATACTCTTAATCTGTCAATTTAATAGCTACATGCGAGTATACTTGCGTTAAATAAATATAACATTATTATTAATATTTAATACAATGTAATATTAAAAAATATTTATTAATATTTGAAAATATAAATACAGCATAATGTTTATTTAATTAAATTCTAACGTCATGATTAGATTGTACATTTTTATGCAAGTTCTAGATTTTACAAATTCATTCTACAATAACGTCGGTGTTATTGGAAAATTAGAATTTATTCTTATTGCCAAAAAGATATTTACCAAATTGTTACTACGCAATTGAATAAATATTCTACTTCAAAATAAATACCGTGGAACTACAGTGTTAGCAATTGACTACGTGCAAATTTTTCCAATCGAGTTTATTTGTTTTTCCATATCTTGTCACGATATAAAAATATCCCGTATACGATGTGAAAATTTGAAAAACTCCAAAGTCTTACATTTACGAATATCTTCGACAACAAATTGTCAAAATTTCCATGTAAACAGCAGGAGGCAATCGGTTTTTCATCTCGCGTAACGAGTAACGTGCACATTGAACACAAATAGAGGAGCTTAAAGCTACGAACGATTGAAAGTTCAAATTAATCGTCGATTACCTTGTCAGTAGTCATAGAGTTTGCGCGTTGTTTGTTCAAGAGGTACAACACAGCAACCGTGAGGACCATGAGCGACCCCGCAAGGATCATGACCACGCTAGCGTACACGATTACGTTCGGCAGGGACAGAAGTTTCTTCAGCCCGTCGACAAATTCGTCAGGTGCGTCGACTTCCAACGCGAACCACATCACTGGGAAGTAAACGTTCGGTACGGATCTGAAAAGCCTGGAATGGGAATCTACGATGAGAGTGTGTCGATCTCGTTAGATCTGTTTGTTCGTTCGTTCGGTTAAAAAAAAACCAAAAAAAAAAAAAAAGAAAAAAACGTTGGCAACACGACAATCGGATGTTCGCTCTGACCGTTTAATTGTCGGAAACGTACTTACGACACAGTCTTTGACGGTTCTAGCAGCATGTTGATCTGCAACTTAGCGGACACTTTCAATGGAATGCCGGTCGTCTGGAAATAATCGATTCGATTATTTATGACCGATACGCGGCCAATTGGAAACGCGTTATCCCTCGAATATCTCTCGACAAACGGTTGCCCGATATATTACGACAAACAACGACCGACTGCAAATGAGTGATCCAATAACAACAACCGGTGTTTGTTAAGACGTGGACGATAAGCAACGATAATGAGGCACTCTCTGATACAGCCAGACATTGACGTGTCGCGTGGCATCGTACGTAAGAATCTCGTTACGAAGATTGTCGCAATGTTCGCCGAGGTTGAATACGTGAACAGAAATCCAACCGACGGAAACATGCAAGGAATTAAAATGGAAGAAAATACATGGATGAAGCGGTGGGGAGGGAAACTCTGGGAAGCCCGTGGAGATGGGATCGTGCTCATTGGACGATTTTCGTTGACGAGATTAAATTCTCAACGTATTTACCGGCTCGAGCGTGATGAAGAAATCATGTTCCTCGTCGGGATTAAGGCCGGTAACGTGTTCTCGGAGGGTAGGGTCGGCTCTGTTGAAATGAGGCAGACTGACGAACACAGGGGCGCCGTAGCGGCAGGCGCTCACATTCATCAGACCGGCGGGGGTGCATTTCCCGTTGCAAAAGCAGTTCCCTATGTTTACCACGTCCGGATCCTCTCCGGGAGCGTTCGTCACTTCTGCCGAGTGTTCAGCTTCGAAGAAGTCCTCGGTGGTGGTGGTCGGTTCGAAATACTTTGCTTGATCGTGAGGGTAGCGCCGTTTCGTGTTGTTTCCCAACGTCTTCTCGCTGAGATCGTACCGATAGCCCTCTAGGCCCATGTGATCGACCGTGTGCGAGTACTCGAACGTTAATGGCCTGCGAAGAATGCAAGAGATAAGCGATCGTGAACCGATTTCACAGTCGGTTTCGATGGCTCGCGTTTTGCTCGGACGCGAACAAGTGGCGAACCTATTGACTCCACCTACGGAGGATCTGTCGCGTAAACGGGATTACCGGACGATCCAATTTACGTGTTTTACGTGAAGGTTAATGAGGGATGAAAATTGTCCAAGGTTTGGCGACAAGGTTTAATTTGTCACGCGCAGACACAAGAGTAATTAGCGAACGGAGCGCGCCGCCACGCGATTCTTTTCTTCACAGACAGACGCGGAGTAACTGACCTGCAGATATCACCGGAGAACAAGAGAATCTCGTCTTTCTGTCGATACGGCGGCCAGAACTCTCCCGCGCTTCCTTCCACTACGTTGCACGGACTTTTGAAGAACCTGGTGGTGTCCTTGTCGTTCCATTTCCTCAGGGTACCAAAGTCGCCAATGTTCAGTGCACCTGTGTCCATGTTTAAGTGGCCATCGAACATCGTGGACCCGTTCCTCTAAAGGAGCAATACGACAGATGTTGTTACGAGGATAGATTGAGAAGTGTTGCCTTTACATAATGAAAAATGAACGGGAAGATGCATGTTCCATCGTTCATTTTTTATTTAAACGGAGTTTAAAATTTTCTACAGTCTACACTCGTAAATCTTCCAGTCGAGATTTTCCATTTTGATCGTGATGTTTGATAATGAAACGATAGATAACACGCAGCTCGTTATTTTCTACGATCGAGCAGGCGTGCAAACGAGAGCTGAACCGCTGATAGTTTTATCGCTGAACGGTTTTATCGAGTTTGCGTGTGCTTTTTCAAGGATTTGCGGCGTAGGAAAAAGAAAAAGAAAAAGGGTTAAAGAAAAATCGCCTTGACACGTAGGATAGTTGGGATTAGTTCGCCGTAAATGTTGCATGCGTGACGTAACAAATTAATACATAATATGCCTCCCATTGCTTTTCATTCGTCATTCAGCGACCTACACGTGACCTGTCCTATTCAGTACCAATTTAAGTCTCGCTGCGAATAATTTACCGCCGGCTGCAATGCCGTTGCTACAACAGCGCAAATCGCATCTTCGACCTTCTGCGCGCCCTCGACACGTTTAAATAAACAATTTCAGCTCCACCTTCTGCTCCGACAACATGTCGTTGAACCTTCGAACCGTTCCCCCGGATTCTACTCGAATCGTTACCAACGTACCATGTAGAACCATCCGAACTTGTCGAAGGGTGGCACGTCCTCTCCTAGTTCCGCCGCCATTCTACCCAGCTCGATCAGCGCGTCTTCGTAACCCCTGAACAACAGCTGATCCACCGTCTTCGTGGTATGCACTTCCGACGCCGACAGCATCAGCGACAGAGTTGTTTGAAACGCTCCGTCCCAGTATCTCACCTTGTGTTTCGCCGACTGTGGAAAAACACGCAAGAAGAGAAACCGTGACCAAGGTGCGTCTAAAGTGCGTCCGCGGAAGGAAAGAAAGAGATCTACTCACGATCGCGACGGCGTTCAGTTGCGTGATGCGATCGGTGAGGGATCCGTTGCTAAGCTCCGGCTTGAAGTACCACCATCGTCGGTTGAAGTAGCTCACCGTGTGATTCTCAGGGTGGAACACCACGTTCGCCTTTTGCCTGATCTCTCTGAAATTCGAGCGTCGCCAGCGTGAATTTCGCGCAATGAAGCGACTTGAAGGAATATTTTTATCCCTACTTCCGCGATCCAATTATGTCGTAACATTTGCTGCAAAATAAATCATTCGAGCGTGTTTCGCGCGAAAACGCGTTCGTGGAAATTCGAACGACGTTGGCGCGGCAACGTTTCCGTAACGTTGTTTACTCAACGCGCGAGGCGGAACGGACAGCGTGTCATTACGCGAGCGGGAAATGGATTACACGACGGGGATACGACAAAAATTACGCGAGCGACGCGGTCGCGGCTGGCAATCAAAAGGAGCGCTGCTCCGGGTCGCGGCCGTCAAGCAACGTTCAATTAAGCGACGCGCTCGTGATTAGAGGAGCCGTGATTTCGTGCTTGTAGCCTACATATCCTTGCGTGTTTCGTTGATTCGATTTGACGCGACAATTGCTGCCCCGCTAAGTGCAACCGGCTCGCGAATGCACCTTGCCGCGCGTCTAATCTCTCGTTTATTGCTAACAGCGCAATCTTTGTTGCGCAATCGTCTCGGGATTAGGGCGAAATCAACGTCAAACGAATGCGCCGACCTTCCCCTCCGGGGGGACGATATTCTATATCGAATCATCGGTGGCCTCGAATCGAAACTTACTCCCCCCCCGTCTCGTGATCCAGCGAACCGAAATTCGCCGACCTTCGCTAAACTTCAACCACTTCGGCAATGTGTGTTTCTGATCTCTGCGCATAGTTTTCATTAAGTTACGATTGTGCTGACATTCCACATAACGTGAGAAATTGGCGTTCCTAGCTAGCTATTATATATATATTCAGTGTTTGCTCGAACGAGGAAAGTTTGTTGTCGAGCTGTATTCTCAAATCGACGAGGAATAAAAAGAAGAACACGCTGTTGTTTACTGTGAAAGAGCACTGAAGCGTGACTATGGAGATTACATACTTTTCAACAGAAATTGCTGTATATATATTTCAATAATGATCGAATAAGAATCTGCGTCAAATTTCGATCGAAATTAATTTAACAGTTAACAGTTAAGTTGGGCTGCGAATATTTCGTCAGGTTATTTAAACTGTAAGAGAAAAGAAGTATTTCTCTATATTTAAAATTTATGGAAATATCCTTATTGTTCGAAAACTAACGATGACGAAGTAAGTAAAACTAGGAAGAGAAACATAAATATCCCGACAATGGGTATCGTTTGAATAGTCGATAAGATTAGAAGATAATGCTCCATTGTCCGAACGAATCCTGGAATCGATGAAAAATTGGTTGTCAAAGGTTGAACTATCCACGCATCGGTCACGTTTATCGTCACGTTCCGGATAGCACTCGTTCGTAGACTCTTGGCCTCGAGAGAAAGCAATTAAACGAGCAATTGTTTTATGCAACATGCAACCCTCCTACGCTCGGCGACTTAGTCGAGACGGTCGAGTTTTCACCGCTCATTAAGATGTCAATATCGTGAGGTTAAATAGCACGAGGTTCCTTTTGTTATCGTGATTAGATCGGTCTGTTAAGAGGGCCACCGTGAAAGATGGCTCGTTGTCATCGTTCGACGCATCGGTCGGTAGATTTGCATTCGTCGTCGATACTGCCAATTTGACATCCAGCTTTCGTGATTATAAACACTGTGTTTGATATCAATTAGTATCGTTACGCAACACAGTTTCCGCTTCGACTGCAACGTTGATGTTTTTTTTTGTCCGATAATTCTTCGATTCCCGTGACAGCGCGGAACAAGGTTGACAGTTAATTGATACTCGAAAGAGAATACCACGCTGGCCATGTTATTATTGTATCGAGTCGTTTTTATAAACGCAGTCGTAAAATTTCGCAATAGATCGCTAGATCTGTACATCCAACGAGTCATACCGGAATACGTATGGGCCGACTTGCTCGAGGTTCGGCTTCTTCCCGGGCGCCCTCAGCTGTTGCGGATTGGTCCAGTTGAAGAAGTAGATTTTGAAATACATGGGAGGCAAGCTGCTCGTGTCGTTCCATACTTCGAACGCTTTCGACGTCGGCGTCAACGGTATTTCCTAGCGGCAAAAGTTTTATCATATTAATGCGATTACGAAACCAAAGGTTTTCGTTACATCTTGCTCGAATCGTTACGAAATCGGTGTACGAAACGCGAAACATTCGTCATTTACCATCGTAGCAAGCTCAAGTTGAGAAACCAAAAAGAAAAAACAGTCTGTTGTTACGCTACGCACGTTTCTCCGCAACGAGAAATTATTCGTCTAGCGCAACACTAAAGACATAGTATGTCAATTAATTGAACAATCAACCACTTTTCCAATCGCGCTGGGAACAACGACGAGACACAAGCGAGACTGCCCGACTACCAAGGCCCGTTTCGTCTCGATTGCCATCGTCGAGAAAGCTCGTGGATATTACTCTGTTTGTTCCCGTTTCCAATCGCCCGATGTGTCCCCTGACGGACGAAAGTTTTCGAGAGGCGGAGCGAACTCCGTCCTTCGGCCAATCGGCCGTATAAATTACATAGAAATGAAATCTCCGAGATAACCCAGAATCGCGGGGCTATCCGATCTCGGTTCTCGCGCGGGGAGAAAAGAAGAGACAGAAGGAAAAAGAGCAAAGCGAGAAAAGGACCATATTTACGTTTAGTCTCTGGTGAAAATGAATTCAAAATAAATGCGTGGCTCGCGTCGCCGGCTATCTCGACGGTCAACATTCATAGAATAACTGCGTTGTTGCAGCATGTAGAAACCATAAAATCAAGGAGAAGCACTTCGTTCGTTGAACGATTCAGATCGATATCGTTTATTGGACTAAATATAGGAAATTAGGAAACTTGTATCATTCGCTGCGCAGGCTTGCAAAAGTTAAACGCGTAGACTGTAAATAGGATTTTTTCCACTCACCTTTTGGAGAATATAATGGAATATAGCTGGCCAAGATAAATAGAGAGTGGTGCCGGAAACGATCAGCAACACGCCGAGAAAGCCAAGGCCGAGGGATTTGCTGGTCCAAGGCCTCATGATAATGGAAGCTCGTTTACGCGGTAAGTCGTTCCTCGGCTCTTCAGCATGTGTGCCTCCGACGGCCGCGGTCGATGTGTTTGCCGATCAGGCCCGCACCCGGTCACTCTTCCGGATATTGTGTGCTCTTCCACGCCGCGCGAAGCCTGAAACAAGATAAAACCTATCTAATCAGCCAGTCACCGAGCCATTTTTCTGTGCTCTCCCTCTCCCTCTCTCTCTCTCTTTCTCGTCTAAACTGTACATCACGTGTCCTCGTCGTCTGCTCTGCGACGACGCGACGCGTTTCCTGTTTCAACCACGAAAACGACGACATTGTCACTTCAGAAATTCCAAGGGATCCACGCGCGATCGTTTGGATAAAGTCACCAAGGAGAATAACCCAAGTGAACTCTTAACTACTGTAGACGTTGAAGCTAACGCAAGTACTATAAAGGGTCTTAGAGACCGTTGAGATATTTATCACGTGCATGCGAGTGTCGAATAAAGATTAAATTTAATTGAAGAATCATTGCAGAAAGCGCTCTAAGTGATAGAAACAAAAAGCTCTGTTTTCTCTCTTTTTTTTTTATTAGCACGTGTAATGTAAGAAGAATCTTCCTTTATAACTAATCTAATCTAATGCTAAAAGATGAGATTTCCATTCGAGTCTAACGTCATCTTTGCAAAGAAAACAGTGAAGTATTTGTGAGAAGTAGAAGCTGATATATTTAAATATTTAAATTTTTGCAACACACTCTATTTGTGAAAATAAAGAGACTGTATTTAAATATGTATGTGTTTCTTTTTCTGTAACCGAGACACTTGCAGTGGTTGTGAATTTAATTGAAAGACACATTGTATTTTCTCTACGTCAAAGAGGTGGCGTATTTCCTTTTTATAAATTTGGACTACATTCAGGGAAAGAATAGAGAATTTCGTGATGCATTCATTTTAATGAAACAAATTTTGTAAATAATTTGAAATTAGATAACATTTTTCGTTCTCTTCAGATTTTTGATATTTACATTGTTCCTTGTGAATACCTTTTGATTATTGTAATAATATTACTATATATATTACTATATATGTAATAAAATTATATTACTATATATATATATATGTAATAAAATTATATTATATTGTATTATATTGGAATATATATTACAATATAATATTAGATGGTTATATGTGAAATATTCACATTTCACAAACGTGCATAACTAAAAATATTATTCAGTAATATTTATCAACCGTTAATTTAAAACTTAGACTAAATATAACATAATTGGTGCCTTGTTTTATTGTAAAAAGTTAGATTAGTTATTGCAAAAGACGTCAGAGCTAATCATAGACCGATTCTAGAGAACTTTAATCTGATGCAACAAAGTTAATTATAGTATATTAATACTTGGAAAAATTGCCTCAATGGAAAAATAATATTTTATTTATCTGAAAAAGTTAGATCGGTGACAAAATCCTATCAATCCTGAACAACTAAGGATGATATTATTAATTTAATTATATAACACAGAGTTTCTTAGAATGTCTTGAGTAACTCTCGCTTGTTTCACTGGACCTAGCCACGTGTTTTTCGACAACATGGCTTTGACCCACTTTGCCTTAATTTGTTGGATGCTCGGTCTTGATGATTTCATCGTAACGAACAGAATGTATAATCCGTCCACTGCTCCTCTGGTATTAAACAATACGATCTAATCCATGTTTAATGAGTTTATGTAACTCAGATAAAATCAAACAAATAATCGATCGATTGACGAAGTTCTTCGTTAATCACGAAGAGTGTGCTATTATTTTTCTTTAAGACGCATCGTGATACCACTTTCAGATATAAAATTACGAGTTTATCAAAGGTATTTTAATAAAAGTTTTAAAAGCATGTTCGAAAATTGATATTGATAAAATAAAGAAGCTGAAATATAAATGTTTTGGCAAATTGTCTTACATCGCGTACGCTCATAAAAATAGTAAAATTATACTAACATACGATATATACATCTCACGCGGAAGCATGCAACTGCAGTTTTGCTGATGCTGCGTTTACTTTGGATAACTTTGTTATCTGAATGTTGGTGTAATATAAAATGTTGCAAAACAGTCGCAATACTAAAAATGTTTACGTTTCAAGTGAACTCTGCATCAATAATTGATCATTATTAATTTGTTTTTACTCTCTGTTTCTTATATTTAACTCTACTTACTAATTTTGTACATTTTTAGTTCCGTCACTTTTGATCTCTCTGTGTTCTCTGTCATATGTTTTTCGACACTACACATCTTCGTATCAAAGATTCCGTAGAAATAGAATTTTTAAAATATTATTCCAATTCACGTAAATATGAATTCATTCATTTTGTGAATGCAAATTCATATTGACGTCAAGATTTCACTGCGACATCCAAGAAATCGAAAAGATAAAAGAAGAGTCAGGTGATTCGTGCAATTATCTTGCAAAGGCAAGAAATCATCGTAATTCGTATTCTTCTAAAGTCAAACTTCTTCGTTCGTTCAAGCAGCAAATTCGCAATGGCACAACTTTCAAAATATAATTTTCTTGGCGATGTATACGTATATTTGTACAATCGTACGTCCACGTGACCTCTTACGAGAATTTCCGCGATATTGGAAAGTTTCGAACGACCGTAAAAACTTGGACGCCACGATCCGAGTGCGTAACAAATAGAGGGCTTCGACGACGAAGGTTCAGTCGCGCGTTTTGTCATCTATCCGCTCATATCCGACTGTATCGTATTGATGTAGTGGCGCGAGTAATGGGAGGTCATTTATCGGTTCAGCGTCCCGTGGCATCCATCGCGTTTCTCCGACAAAAGACGCGGACAAGTGTGTTCTTCGTATCGTTGGAACCGTCACCGCCTCCTCGTATCTATTGACCTTTAATTTCTTCGCGACACGAATTCTTTTTTCACGTGTCTCCGTCTAACGTGTCGTATCGTATCGTATCGTATCGTTGCACTACAGATCAAGAACAACGTTCTGCAACGTTGATTTCTCTATCCTCTTTCGGAAGGTCTGTGAATGAAACGATAACCACGGAGTCACCATTACAATTATACATTTTCGTACATCGCGCGATAAATAACTTCTCGTTAAGATTGTGGATTTTTTCTGATTGCTCCCTCGTTGGTGAACTGTTTCCTTCAGAAACAAATATTTATATGGGCTACAGACGAATAACATCGTACAAACTGATTCAACTTAAACCCATTTTCCTCCATTTTTCTTTATCTTATTCTGATGAATCCACGATCTCGTGAATTCACGAGAAACAAGCCTAACGCGACAGAGAAACCGAATGGAGTCGCAGGTTTAACACAGGTGACTACGCCTTGCGTTAGCCAGTTTGAGGCTCCGAAAGACGACGAATGACGACAAAGACTTACTTGTTTCACGTAGTCCACGGCACGTTCGTTCCCTTCCAGTCTACGGGATCGAGACTGCACGATTCAGTCACGAAAACGCCGATAACGCCAATCGAGGAAATCTCAACGAGATTACCAAGCGAGCTCAATCACCTCGGCTGGAACGTGTGATGCTGTATACAGCGCGGTTGTCACTGCTGCGTCCAATGAATCAACAGGCTGCATATAATGTGACTATTGGCCGCATCCCCTCCACTTAGGGAGACTTCCCTCCTTTGCTCGCCTCTTCGGACCCTCGTCATCCCGTCGTTCTTCTTCGAGAGAACCTCTTCAAGAATTTTCTCCCTCTCAAAAGCGACGACGAATCTCCCGCACTAGACTAGAGACACGATCTATTATCCTATGATGATCGAGCAGTCGTTTGGCTTCCTTCCAAACGCGAGCGTCACTCTCGCGCCAATGATGATCTCCCCGTCGGTTAATTGTAACACGTGCTCGCGCTATCACCACACGTGTCACGCGTCGCAGACGAAGCGTAGCTGCTAAACGATAGGAAGAGAATAGCGCGTAAATGCGAAGACTATCCCGGTGGCTCCTTTCTCTCGGCCGCTGCCCAAAATGGTGCACGTGAAATAAATCTACGATTGGTGGCGTAGGCGTTTTACTCGATGCTTGTTGGACTCGTTCGCCTTGGACGAAACGAAAGCAACTTTCGTTAAAAAAAAAAGAAGAAAAGAGCGAACGCTCAATAGCTCGCGCCGCGTCGATGCTTGTTCGATCTAACAGGATGGTCTTGACCTCACTCTGTCTCACGTGACTGTTACGCAATGGGTTTTGTTATCAAAACACGAGCATAGTACGCGTCGTTTATTCCCGTATGTACGTGCTTCCTCACGTTGCCGACCGATAACGCACGAACGATTCGAATATACGTATATTTTAATGTACAGTATATTTATTTTGTAAATAATAAAGAAAAAGAAGCAGTAGAAATTTATTTACCAAGGGCGTCGAAGCATGGTCGACGGCAGCTTGTATCTTATCTTTCCACGTTATGTAAAAAGGGGAATGGGACGCTGCGAACGAGACGCTCGACTAATTTCATACCGTTGAATCTTGATTATCGACGCCACTCAAACTCTCGTGTTCGACGCATGTACGCACGTATACGAAAGAAAGAAAACCGGAGTGAAATCTACGATTGAAATCCCCGAACGAATGTACTAGCTATTGTGTTACTAACGATAGGCCAGGACACCGTGGCCAACCACGGCCGATTATAGGTGTTTCGAACGACACTCGACCTAAAACTGATGCCAAGCTTGTCAGAGGAGGAAAGAGGCTCGCCTGTGCTTGCGACAGGTAGTAAGCCACAGAAGTGCCCCGATGCAACCCCTCCGCCTGTCTGATCCGGTTCAAAGCCGTTGATCTCTTCATTGCCAAGCGGTGTCGTTTGCATCGCTTGCAAATATCAGCCATGAGGACGCTTCTGGCTTCTGTCTGCTAATTGACTCGGCAATTCCGTCGCGATTAATTTTGTACCTCGAGCGTTTACCCCTTCCCACGACCGTGGAACGCGCTGTCCGCACGAAACCTTGTTTTTCATCGTCAAGCGGGAACGAACGTCCATCCGTCTCGCGATAAAACAAAATTAGATACATATCTGGGCAATAATGGATCGTTATCAAACGACTGGACACGTGCGATAAATGACAGACGCGATCAACGATCTAGAGTCTGTGAAATTTTTCATTTCTTCGGCCTCCTATCGTCAGGCGTAGCTGAGTGTGGAAACTCGCGACGTCCGACGTGGTTACAAAGCGAAACAGGCGGGCAAAGGTTTTTCCCCTTGGATACATAACTCTCAGCGATAAGAACGCTGATAAAACGGCGATTCTGATCTTCTGTTTGTGCATCCGTTCTTAAACGGCTTTGCAACAGTTTTAAAAGCTGATTTTTGAAATTTCTTTTTCTCGAAATCACCGCCGATGCAGCCGGTTGTGCAACGAAATTGTTTCTTTTGTCGATTATCCGTATCACGGTTTGTAATTGGTGTTTTTGTGCGCAATGCACGTAGCAATAAGATAATCATTGACGTTTCACCGAATCTCAAGACGAAATAACAGAACCGTAGAGTACCAGTATCGTTGCCCGTTGAAACACTATCTCCAACTGGATCATTCAGCTATCGTTCAGCTGCTTATGAAGCCCCTCAAGGTCTTGTAGTCTCAAGAATATCTAATGTAATTCGGCGGTAGCGAGCATGAGTCAAGCAGTTTCGACGAATGCCTATCTTGTTGGATTGTAAGATATGCGGGTATTCAAACTTACGTATCAGAAGACGTTTGTCAACACGTGAATATATTCACGTACTCGTTGTTTCAGGATCCGCGGATTTTTAAGCACGGAAAATGTTGTACAATTTTGTACGTAATTACTTAAATTTGCAACCAACTGCTATATATTATGTATATATAAATACTTTCGATATAAATACTTTCTTTTATGAAAGATCATATAACAAATTATAAGGTTTTATTTTTTAAAAAAAGTGGATGAAATCTTCAAAACTATTTCAATTACAAAAAAAAAATTATTATTACCATATTATGGCTCTCTCTCTGTACTAAGCAATTTTTGTTAACAAAGTTTTTTCATATCTTTGGAAACAACGGAGATCAAGTTTCATGATCGATTGAAATTTCTAAGTTCCCGACCCGAATCCCCTTGATTCCTCTGTTGGATTCCGTGTAATGGAGTCAACACGATTACAATTTAGAAGAGTTTATTCCCTTACAGTCGTGGTCGTGTATGAAATAGGATGATATACAATGATTTAGAATGTCTTAGAATATGATGAATGTCTAATTGTTCTTAACGATATAGAATGTCTCTATAATGATTTAGTTGATTTAGATGTTTTATGAGTGAGAATGTCTCTAAAGCATGTCCTTATAGATATTTGGTTATCATCGTCAAGTGGAAGGGGAAGGAGCATAGATGACCAACTATTGGATCTTGCCTAACTATGACTAACTATTCACAGTCCACTTTTATGTGGACTGTTGCTAGCTTATTGTCAGTATTTGCATACATTCAATATTGTCCGGGTTGGTCATCCAACACCTCCACTGGACCGTATCGATGAATCCGATCGATGCAAAGGAATATGTCAGAGGCAAGGTGCATAATAATCGACACAATTTTATTTACAATAGAAAAACGTATCGGATGTATACATATATAGTCCGAGCCGAGTCATCTAGCCTGGGAGACGCGTTTGTCCGCTTCTATCGGGTTAAGAACCCCTTGGCGTACCCCGCGGCCCGGTTTGGCCGGAATAACGGCCAAATGCCACATCTAATCCTTAATAAACGTGCACTTATCTAATAAAGCTTTTAAACGATACATAATGTAACACGATGCAATGCAAGAACACTCAGTAGTAGTAACTTATACGTAAACGCAGTAAATCAAACCGTCCCATATACGAAATTTTCCATCCTCGGTCCTCTCTCTCTCTCTCTCCCTCTCTCCTCCCACACGTACATCTACACGATCGATAATATATTACATAGAAAGGATTACAAGTTGGCGAGCATTGGCTCGTTCGGACGATCTTCTCGGGGAAGCGAAATTCGTCGTAGTCTATCAGCTATCCATATCGCTACGTTAGGGAAACTTATTTTTTTATTTTTCTTTTTTTTTGCGGCTGAACGTATTGACCACAGACACGTGCATACATATGCTGACTTTCGATCGTTCGTCGAAAGATTTTCTCCTGGTACGCGCCTAAGGCCACGTCCCTTACGGGAGGCATTCTTTATTTCTCGTTCGGGGACTGGCAGAAACGTTTCCTTGCCCACCATATGGCGGCCAGAGCTGCTGCCAGAAATCCGATGCCCGCCACTATTCCCATAGAAATCGCCCTGTTTCGACGATACGCCGGTACCTCGAGGCTGACACGTTCGCTCGTTGCCACATCGTCCGATATAGACATCGCGGCCACCTCGAACGTGTAGTAGCTCTCCTCTTCCAAGGTTTTCACTGGAACAATTGTTTATTTACTTCAGAAATTCTCGGGGGAAAAACTCCTCCTTTCGTTACGTATACAAGAACATAAATGGATCGTCAGAACGTAAACGTTTGTTAAATATGATAAACTTAAGACGAAGAACGAACGAAGAGAGTATTTCGAGATGGTTGCAGTAGAGCTTGCCGCAGGTAGTATTTTGAAGCAATCTATTGTCGGTGGTACAAAAGATTCACGTTGAAGGAAATAAGACACAAAGAGGTCCTCGGAATTTCTAGGAATTGCAAGGTTTGGATTAGGTTAGGTTCCTAGAAGGGACAATCTCAGGTGCTACCTGGAGATTATAAATGATGCTCGAAAGTAAAGAAGGTCAATTCTATGTGCTTCTGAGTAAACGTCGAATTGTATAATTGTATGTTTTTTATACTATAATATTGCGTTTGTATGTTGTATATCGTGTTTGAATTCTGATGAGAAAGACTGCGAATGAAGTAACAAGAAGATTTAGAAATATAGAAATATATATAACTCTCTATAACCAAAATTTGATTCCTTTCTGAAAAAGAAAAGAAGAAATCGTTGACTCCAATTTAAAATTTGCGAACTAACAATTGTTATCCTAAATATAGAGACACAAGTAAAGAAAGTATAGTACCAAAGAGAAATATATTAAGTGTAGAGGCAGTGTGCAAATATCATTCTCTATTAGTCTAATTAGTCTATGTATAGTATAAAGTTAGGTTAAAGCATGCAATACTAGATGTGAAGGGAAAAGTAAGAAGGGAAAACTTGACAACCAAGGGAATTAAAACGGAAAACAAAATGTAAAGAATAATGTAAGGCACCGAGGTCTATTTCTAGGCCGAAAGGCTGAAATAAAGATTCATTCATTCATTCATTCAACTAACAATTGTTATAAATACATTACGTAATATTTTTGTAATGAACAAGTGCTTAAAATTACGATTTTCAAAATGTGGCTACGTATAAACTTAAAGGGGTAATAACATTAATAATTAACAAGGACATAACTTTAGCGACTCGATTGCAATAAAGTGGATATTCTAGTTGATAAAATTTGACTATTCAATGATTGGATTATTAAGAATCTTAAATACACGGCAAACTGAAATCACGCTACTTTGGATTCTTTTTTTCTTTCATCGAGACGATACTTTTTTTTTTATTTTTTTATTACCTAGGTAATAAGTGTCGGTAGTTTCTGCTCTTCCGTACAATTGCTCGGACGGTCCTCGGAACCACCTAACCGCGTACAGTCTCACTTGTTCCTTTCCGTAAGCAGGGGGTTCCCAAGTGACTAAATAGCCCTGCACGGTAGCTTGTACCCTGACGTTCAGTGGTGGGCCCATTCGGTCGTCTTTCAGAACGAAAACATGTCGCGATAATACATACCGTCTAATAAAAAGATTGTACAAATCCAAGCGCACTTACCTGGCGGACTACGATATTCCGATGCTGAGTTCTCATCGATCAAATCTGAAATTTATTTCAGCAAAAAGTAAATTTTATTCTTTTATTTGTTATTAACGGAATTCATTGGTTGATTCTATGTTACAACTGAGGGAAGAAAAAGGCAAAAATTCTTTCCGACTGACGTAATTCTGAACTTTTAGCACCGCATTGCATGAAATCATACATACTAGGCTGTGTGAAAATACGCAACGTTTTACTAAACATCCCGTCCCCGTGTTTATCCTGGCTAAGCACCATGAACTCGTACTCGCGCCCTGGATTTAAATTGTTGACGGTCGCCTCGGTGATCTTCCTGGACAAGATTTTCATCGTTCTCCATTCCGTGGTGTCTGTCGGTCTATACCTATTTCAACAAAGAAAACGAAATATTTCTAACACTTTGATATTATCTGAACGTCATAATATCATATTATTATTATACAAATTGTTGGATGACCAACCCGGACAATATTGAATGTATGCAAATACTGACAATAAGCTAGCAACAGTCCACATAAAAGTGGACTGTGAATAGTTAGTCATAGTTAGGCAAGATCCAATAGTTGGTCATCTATGCACCTTCCCCTTCCACTTGACGATGATAACCAAATATCTATAAGGACATGCTTTAGAGACATTCTCACTCATAAAACATTCTAAATCATAATAGAGACATTCTATATCGTTAAGAGCATTAGACATTCATCATATTCTAAGACATTCTAAGTCATTGTATATCATTCTATTTCATACACGACCACGACTGTAAAGGAATAAACTCTTCTAAATTGTAAGCGTGTTGACTCTATTACACGGAATCCAACATAATTACAACAATTATTATATATAATTATTATATTATTTTAATATTGAATATAATTTCGATATTTTAGCAAAAAGTAAATTCTATTCTATTTCCCGTTAATTACAACATAATTACAACAATATAATTATTATATTATTTTAATATTGATATTTCGATATTTTAGCAAAAAGTAAATTCTATTCTATCTCCCGTTAATTACAACATAATTACAACAATATAATTATTATATTATTTATTATATAATAATTACTATTATTTATTATTATATATTATTTATGTTATAATTATTAATTATAATTTTATTATATACCAACTATTATTTATTATTATATATTATTTATTATATACCAACTATTATTTATTATATAATAATTAATATAATTATTATATTATTTATTATATAGTAATTACAACAATATAATTATTATATTATTTTAATATTGATATTTCGATATTTTAGCAAAAAAGTAAATTCTATTCTATCTCCCGTTGAAAGTTTACTTACCAAACCGAGTATTCCATCTTGGGCCTCACGTATCCTGGCACCCAAGTTAGGGTGACAGCGTTGTTGCTGCTGTTGGCGCTCAGATTGTACGGCGCCCTCGGAGGAACGTTCAGTACCATTAATTCCGTGTCGGCAACGACGGTCGCTGCTTCGTTACTAGCCGCGCATTGATACAATCCTCTGTCCTGTTCTTGAATCCTATCGATTGTTAAGTTGCCGCCAATTATAATGGTCCTGTTGCCCGGCGGTACTGGCGAGCCATCCTGTTACGGAAATTGAGATTAATCGTCTCATCGTTCTTGATTTCATTAGCCGTATACACGTTTAAGATTTCCCAGCTATTTCTCTTTAGTCTTACCTCGACTTTTTTTTTTTTACGATAAATCAAAATATAAACGTAAAGAGATGCCTTGCGGCAACATTAGGCAACATTCTATTCTTACAATTGGACTATATATTTTTCTATTATATCCTTTATATCACAGCTACGTAGAGTATGTAAACTTTTGCGATGAAGCTAATTGTTATTCAGCTTGTAGGCTTTCAAATGAAATGCGGTCCCAATGATTATTAGCTTCGGGCTCTGCAAGGGCTAGATCCGCTACTTTCTTATAATTAATAATAAAATAATTATTAGAGATTCACGGAGGATAACATGTTACAATAATATGTAATATGCAAATATATACAATTACAAGTAATACACAAATATATGTATTATATAAATTACAATAATATTAATAAAATTGAATAAATACAGAAGGTGAATTTCTTAATTTGTCACGTACTCGTCGTTTAATATTAAATTTTTAGACTCCCGATCATTTTAAGCACTCAAGAGGGACTTTCGTGTATACGCGAATTAAGTAAACGGATAAACCAAAGGGAATAATTGATAGAATATGTACCTTGTACCAAACGATCGACGGTCGATGGGCCTGATCACCATCCCTGGCGTCGCAAGGTATCTCCAAGTTCTCTCCCAATTTCCTTATGTACAAATGCTGCGGAGTCACCGTAAACACCGGCGGCCTTTGCACGATCTGTCGAACAACATTCCTGAGTCAATAGCGAGAATTGTGTCCCTCTGAGAGTTGAAAACAATTGAAAAATACAGGAGCGATTAACACTCGCAAATCCGCCGCTTTCAGTCCCAAAAATTCCAGACCGACCCGACGAGGGGCCTCTCGCGTTTCGTTCAATTGCAATTGTCCGATGAAGGAGAAAGAGAATACTTGCCACGGTGATGGACGGACTGGGTCCCTCGGTGCCCAGCTCGTTGTACGGCGTGCATGTGTAACTTCCGGAATGAGTCTCGTCCACTTTGCTGAAGTACAGAGAACCGTTCCTCCTGTAGAAGACGCCCTGAACGTTGTAAGGATCGAAGAGGAATCCGTCCTTCTCCCAACGTAGGTTCGTCAGCGGCGGATTTGCCCTGAAGTGGCAATCAAGAAGGGCTGGTTTCCCGTATGGCAGGTAGACCTCCCGGGGAGCGTAGATGACCTTCGCCTTGTCTGAAACATCGGCGACGATCCTTTGTCAAACTCGAGGCCAATGAATGAATCGGGAATCAGACGTCCTCGAAATAAACCAGGCAACGTTAGCCGAAATCGGAGCGACGCTCGTTAAACTTTCGCCCGCCAGCGATTTTGATTACCGCGTCGTTATTGTCGTTTGTTCCCATTATTTCGCCAGTGTTGTTACTTCATTTCCTGGGCGAAAGTGTGCGATCACGGCCCCGCGAGCAATTCCACCCTCTGACACGGGCGAACCGTGCACAACTGCACGCGCATTTGGGTCACCCGATTTTATAAATTTCTGGTCGAGGTCTGTCCCGTTTTCGTCGCAGGGAAAAAACGATCGTTTCGGCTGCGAGGATACTTGCATTGTACGTTGAGGAAGGCCGAGGCACTCTGCTGATCCCCAGTCTCACCGGTCACCACGCAAGTGTACTCCCCAAGGTCACCCATGGCAGGCGAATTGATGGTCAACGTCCCATCCTCGGCGATGGACGCTCTTCTTTTAAGATCCTGTTAGAAATCGGTCGAAAATCAATGTCGAGCATTCGACGGTCTTCATCGTCGTACGTTCATTTGAGAATAAAAACTCGAGAGTAATTTTCGCAATTGAATTACGCGAGAGGATCGTTGCAATTATGTATTTGAAACGTGACCGCCGCTGTTACTTGTTGTCAAATGAAAATAGAGATAATGTATCATCGTCGAAGAGTTGCTTCACACAAGTTTCGAATTTTGGGTGTAGCTGTCACAATTCACAATCACACTTCATTGATTCAGTCAGTTTTATTATAATACATGTTGATTTATAGAAACTTAAATTCGAAAAGAATTTAAATACTTTGAATATATCAATGCAATATTTAAGTTACATGATGATATGATATAGTATAATATGTTAATTAAGGCTAACCACTCGGATGATTCACATGTAATTCTCATCATCAGGTGAAATTAGAATGAACCACCGGTGACTCACACGTATGTTTCCAATTGTATTTTTAAAAGCATTATTTAAATTGGAAATGGACCTAAATACAATATTAAACTTATGGGGGGAAGCTTGAACAATAATATCCACTATCAATTACACAAAAGTTGCCAGAAGGAACAAACTTAGCCAGAACATGAACGTGTTAAATAGACACAGAGTTTCAGAGTACTCCCGAGAACGAAAACTGTTGAATGGACATGTATCTGTGATCGATGGACAAACGTTACCTCGATTTCTGTAATTTCCACGCCCTCGCGGAACCAGCTAACAACCGACTTCTCCCCTTTGGCCACGCAGTCGAAACTGACGGATTCACCCTCCATTACAGTCTTGTTGACGGGCGGCACCGCCAGCAGATTCTCGCCTGGAACAGACGTCGGAAACGGCGACGCACCTGGGTTGAACGATTTAACGAGTCTGCCCAGTTTCAGGTTAGTAAGCATCAGCGTTACATCAAATCGTTTCGTTTTTCTAGTTTTAGTCGGCCGGCAATAAGGCGGGGATTAATCTTTTTTCTTTTCTCTTTTTTTTTTTTTCTCTCTCTCGAAACGGTTAATTCGCTTTAGTCGCAGCGGTTGCAACGCGTCAATCGATCTAGTGCACATTCGTGTTGGTTAATCGGCGCGTTTGCCACCGTGAATTGTCTGTGCACAGAACAACGTCAAAGTGTTATTTCGATTCGGTGCGTGACAGAGGCATTGTGTTCTTTCAGCGACGAACCACGGAAACTCTTTCTCGCCACGCTACCCGTTTCCCGTTACTTTATTGTCCGTTTCTTCTTTTTTTTGTTTTTTTTCTTTTGTTTTCTTTACTCTAGGAAGGGGCGCGCCTTTTTTTGCGTGCAGAATTACATTACATATCCGTTGCGTCTGATCAAGCGGGTTCATTGTATCGGGAGCCAGTCAATTTCGCGATCGGTATCTACGACAATCAACTGCGTACGATGAATGCTCACGATGACTCAATTCCCCCATTAACGTTCAACGGAACGGTTCAGCGGCAAAAACCAGAATTCCGTTCGACTTAACGAGTGAATCATCGGAGCCTAGCTTCGCGCCGCGAAGTTGGAACGAACGAAACTCCGTGTGTTCGACGCTCGAAGCAATTGTTCCCGTTTTCTCATAGGAATTAAGATCGATTCTTGACAAGGAAAGAAAGAAAAAAGAAACAGAGAAAGAGAAAGAAAGAGAGAGAGAGAGAGAGAGAGAGAGAGAGAGAGAGAGAGAGAGAGAGAGAGAGAGACACTAGCGTGTGAAAAGTAAAGTTAGGCGTATAAACGTTTACTTCCTCGTTGCCGGAAATCCAGAACGGTTTCACGGTCACGAGCCTCTGCTTCGTCCAGCGCAGCGTTAGCGTTGGTAGTCCAGCCAAGTGACCCAATTCAGTGCTCAGGGTTAGTCAGTCGGCGTTTAACTGCGTTAATTCCCTTCGCCACTTGGTGTTATCGAATTAGCCGATTAAACGCATAGGATGCGAGAAAGTGTGCGGGAACCTTACCATCTATTGCGAGGTGGAACCACGTCCCGTTGTTCCTGGAGTTGGGCGTCCTGTTCGGGAAGATCACCCGACACTCGTACCATCCCTGATCGCTCTCACGGATGTTCGTGAGATTGATGCTGCCCTGGCCGTAGCCACGGCCAACCGCGTCTTCTAAAAGGTGGACGCGACCCACGTAGCGCGGTTCCACCGACGGATATCCGTTGTACCATGAAAAGATCGTTCGACCCTGCAACGATCGCAGATGAGGTGTCAGACGAGAGGATGAGAATTCGCGTCGACGATGCGAACCGATTCGTGCCCCTGTTCATCGTAGATGCGAATGATTTCTCGTCCTGGGTCTCGCAGAGAGCGCGATTTCCAACTAATTTATCGATCTAGATTCGCATCCGACATACGATTACGTCCGCGAGGCCGGCACCGAGGAGACAATCGATTTCATAACCGCGTCTCGATCCGCGTTGCAACTGCAACACGAGAGACGTCGGAAGTGTCGCGTTTCCAAGTCAGAGCTACGCCGGGGGAGAAGATAGAAAAAAGATAAGAAGAAGAAGAAGAAGAAGAAGAAGAAGAAGAAGAAGAAGAAGGCGAGAGACTGGAGGCACGTTGGGGACACGTGCGTCCTCCGGTGAAAATGAAAAACGCTGAAATCTAGGGAGCCCTGGCGGTCAAAACGAGGCTGGCGAAAAGGCCGCTAATCGTCCCTAATCGTCTGACAATGCGTTAGCAGTGACCCACTGGTTGGGGACCCCTCGTGTCGCGGACTCGACTCGTGACTAAATATAATGCAGCCTTACGTCCCGTACTCCAATTACCAACGTTCGACAGACAGAGAGGGACCGAGCACCTGTTTTGCATACGCATCAGGGACCAATCAGGTTAAGTTCCACTTGATTTTATGCGGTAGCCATGTGCGACGCTCAATCTGTTTCCGGCTGCACGCGGCTGCACGCGCGTCCAATGCAACATCCGCGAAAGAACGACGCCTCTTCGCCGCGAACAGGAAACCAACGCGATCAACCGATGTCCCTTTAACGCTTCCGCTTTCGGCTCGTCGAAAGATTTTCCGACAAATTCCAACGATTTCTCGATGGAATTGTCAAAATGTTAAACACACGTACGACGAAGAAGTCAGAAACGCGAAAGTAGAACCCGGCTTTTTGTCTGTGTTGTATATTTTTGGAAATTACTTTCGACTTGAATCGAAACAACGGCGCCATTTACGTATCCATGACGTTCTAACGAAGAATATATACGAAAAATTTCGAAGAAACCTTGCCTTTTAGAAACAACAAAACCTTCGAAGGCCCAAGTTACACTGTCTTTGAATATTTTCTGAATTCAAGAATGATTATAAACTTTTGAAAAAGTCAAAATCTGTTGGAGAGATATTTGGTGAATACCTAAAGATGGACGAGAGAGAATTTTGCAATCTAATTCTGAAAGTTCCTGTATAGAAAAGAGTACGAAATTGCAAAAGTTAGAAAAAAAGAAAAAAAATAAAATTCAAACGGAGAACACCTTTCCGAATGCAGTATGTAATAAGCTCTCCAGAGATACCAAACAATCTCCAATCAGAGAATAGCAACCGAACAAATCGACTCTCGAATTGAATGAACACCAATTCGACATTTTACGTGACACGACATTACACGATCTACGAAATTATTTGATCGAGAGACGCACAGTGTTTAGTTTTACGAATTCACAAAAATATCAATATTTTGGAAATGGTTCGAAAGCTTTTCTTACAGTTTAAAATCGTTATACACTGTTCACTTGTAGCGTTTCGTAAGTCTGAAAATCACAATTCGAGCTAAAAAAAATTAACCACTTTAACTTTTGCAAAATTCGAACGTGAAATTTTACGAAAGACTGCGATCGAAAAATTGCGTGACTTCGCCTTCAAGATGTAGCAATTCTTTCATCGAGCAGTGTACATTCAAGTCTTGTACTGCATATTTATTTTATTAATCTTGTTTCTTATTCCGTCAGCTGAAGCTGTGAATTTACAAAAAAATCAAACAGCAGCAGCAAGAAATGTACGAATACGTCGCTTAATGTTTACCTAGATCGTTGAAATTGGCCGTCGTGCGGCGAGAAAATCGCGGCACGAAATTGTGCAATCGCAACCGCATTAGTATTGTATCCGGCGGACGTCGAAGATATTGCGCGACGCCTCGAAATCGAGACTCGGTGTCACGGAAATCTAGATCGGGGCACGTGTGCTTCCCACGCCGATCGAATTAGGTAGACGTTTTTCAAAGAAACTGTATCGCCTACCTTGCCTTGAGCGAGCGCTTTTTTTTTTTTTTTTTTTTTAACGCGTGTTGAACTGTTCCCCAGTCGCCGTAATCCCCAGCGCGGCTGAACGCGGATTAATCAATCGGCAGGCTTCGTTTGTTTAACTTTTAATGGGCCGTCGTTGGTAATCACACTTAACGGTAACAGAACGTAAATTGTCCTCGATCGAATTACAACGAGGAACGAAATCTTCTCCTTGAGACGGATTATCGATTTCCTCGGACCAAGATCGAGTACCGAGCGATACCGATACCGATACATTTGGACGAGTAAAAGTCTCATCTTCCCCGGTTAACCGCAGACCGCGTAATCCGTAAGCAAGTCGAGATTTTCGCGTGCCGGGTGGAATAATATTATTTATCAAAGTTGCGTAGTATCGTTTCGCCGTTCTTTTACGTTCGTGTCTCACGCGGCCACGGGATGAAGCCCACGAGATGAAATCGTCGCGCAGCGGTCAAATCAAACAATCTACGCGGCTCGGTTTGATTTGTTAAGCGATACTTTCTGTAAATTTTCTTGAATTTACCTTTGGCGTTCTTGTATATATTTGGAGTTTTAACGAGCGATGCAAACAAGTTAATTAATTTGTTTATAGTAACTGTACATCTCTTGTATTTGGTATTTTTGCGTAGTATCTATCACGTACGAACGAAATTCGATTTAGATAATTTAGTGGCTCGTTGTTGCTCGAATGGAATATTCTCGATACATCTTCGTTGTTTTCGTTTCATCCACGTAGATTCATAAAAGGTAGCCACTGCGCGACGCTACATTGAAATTAGCCGTGAAGTCAATGTTGCCGCACTTACGTCACGATTCCATTGAAGGATGTAGGGAATCGGGGTCTCGTGCGGAAAGTCCAAGTCGCAATTAAATACCGCGTACTCTCCGACTCCTGCGTTCAGGTAATTCGGCTCCTTCTCTTCCTCCAGTATCAAACCGAGCGCTGAAAAGAAAATCAGAGACACGGATGAGGCGGCTGTCTGGTCCATTTCGGCGAGAATCGACGAGGGTCGAACGATCAGGTGCGGTTGATGAGAACGTCGCGTGACAAGTAGCAATACAAGTCCGACTCAATTTTAGCAAATTGGCCAATTTCCCGGTGCATTACGCGCGATCGTCAAGCGAGTCGCCAATTAACGCCGGCGTAGAGTTCAATATCAACCTCAAGATCAGCCTCGAGGAGACTCACCTTGGTAGCGGAGGAAGACGATCAGAAGCAGGTGAATCCCGATCGCTCTGTACATTTTCTCTCTGCGTGTTATCCGAGATCGCGGAGATTCGACTCACGACGAATACTCGCCGACTTCACCGTGGCTGTCCCGCGGGGACAGTGCGTGGACGCGTGGATGTCAGGGGCAAGTCACACTTCGCGACCGACGACGACGGCGGCGAACGAAACACGGCAGCAAAACACATCTGTCATCACCGACACTCATTAAACATCGGCCACCATTAATCGGCGATTAAATGGCACGCGGCACTCTGGCGATCGGAACCTCTCGGCCGATCAGCGCCAGCACATCCCCCCGATTTCTCTTCTCCTTCTCGCTTCCTGCTCTCTGCCTCGTTCGAAACGTCTCCGACCGATGTTCACCACCGATTTCTTCCTCTATCAAACGACCATTCCTCTCGATCCGAGCCCGATCGTGCTCTACCTTCTTGTGCTATTGCCCGTACAAACGACGCGTACCACGGACGATCGTGACGACAAGTGCGATTAAATGGCCGCAGCGTAACCGATCTTTTCTTGTCGAGAGAAGTCGCGAGAAGTCGAGTAGGTTACCGAGAGAGATCGATCCGGCTTTGCCGAGCTGGTCCACCGTGGAACGTTCGCTCACCGAGTGGTCCGGTGGTTGCGGTGATAACCAAGTAATCGCTCCGCCTCGCTCAATCCGAGCGGATACGACGCCGAACAGCAACGATAACGAGAGCCGAGCAACACGGGGGAAGGGGTAATGTTAGCAGCGTTCAGAGAAGGGAGATAACCGCGGATTATCCAGACGATTCTACGTTCGCGGTTTCCATCTCAACACGCTTCTCTAGCGCCGTTCTTGTTACCCGACACACCCACCACGGCCGAGCGAACGCGGCAACGCGTCAAATCAAAAATGATCAACCTGTTCCGTGGGAGAAGCCGAGTAGGCCCAGGTGCGATCATTGGATGATTTTGTGGGAACGAGGGACGATACTTGTCAACGTATAACGACGTATATACGTGTATATACGTGTCGTTTGTTAATTAGAATTCTTTCACTCCATTTGTTTCTCTTTTTTTTTTCTTTTTCATTCCCATCCCCGCAGTCGTTCTAAATCGCCTGGCAGACGAATTATCGCCTCCATTCAAGTTCGAATCGCGTTCTTCTTTCAGCGCGGCTGTAAGAGGCTCGAGCGGAGATTAAAGGTTCGTCAAACCTGGTATATACGTGCATAGAAATGGACAGCGGTCGAAAGAGACGCTCGATTCAATCTTTTGTGCGGGCCTAAATTTAGAAACTGCAGTTTCGACGACGCATTCGCAGGGAGGGACGTGTGGCTGCGAAGCAAGCGGCGGAAAGTTGTCGCGACGCGTGGCAACTCGGCTTGCCGACCAGATCCCTTTTATTTATCCGCCTACGCGAGTGTAATTGCTGCTCTCGTAACGAAGACGCCGACTTCCGGTGCTGCGGAATATTTACCATTGTCGTCACGTTCAACGCTCCGTTTCTTCTTACCGTCGCGCGAGAAAAACTCGCCGTCTTCCACTGGCAATTCTCTCGCGCCTCCGACGACCATTTGTCAATCGCTTCGTCTCTCGTTCATTCCCACCGATCATAGGACGTCGCTTTTCTTTCTCAGTTTTGTTTTTGTTTCGGCGAACGTAGATCGTCGTCATTGCCGTCGTCGTGGTCGATCGAATTTGCTGGAAAGACGAGTCGTGCGACGAAGATCTCGCAAGAAAAAGAGAGAAGGAAACGTCGGGGACGAAGAAGAAGAAGAAGAAGAAGAAGAAGAAGAAAGAAGGTAATAGCTGGAACGAACATGTTCCTGTGACGGACGGGCCGGATCGAATCTCGATCGGGTGGTCGCAGCGACTCTACGACGACGACGACGACGAAACTGCACAGCACACCGGCACACAGCCGCGCGCCATTTGCGTGGGTGACCTCAGATTACGTCACATCCGTCCCTTGCCGCATTAGCAGACTGCCCACAGCCTTGTCACGCTGTTGAGATAATGGATCCATTCGCATGGATCACGATCCAGGATTGGACGTGCCCGGGACACTGGAAATAAATGCGTGCATAATGACACCGGGCCGTATTATTTCATCGACGAGCCACAGAAGGGAACAACTTGTTCCTGGTCCACCTGCCATGCGACCAATCAATCCTCGGAAATCGAAAATGGGACCTGCGTCTAAGTTGCCTCGCTATTGTCCAATTATTCTACATCGCGTCGGGTGGAACTGAATCTTTTTTCGTTTTCTTTCCCTTTTTTTCTTGCGAACATATCACCGTCGAACGATCTCACGAGCGACGAAAACCGCCAACGAAGACGCGTGTCGCGAGTTGAAATGGTCACCGGGATGGACGTCGCTCCAGTTTTTTTCGCTCTCGCGACGCCTCGTATCGAGGGAAATCATGGAAATTGCGGTAATTCCCGGTAATCAGTGCAGTAGACGCGTTGCGCAAATGTTCCTTGAGCGCGCGCTTAATGGCCAGTCGTACACGAAGACTCTATAAATTACTGGGGCCGAGGGCCGAGATTCCGACCGTTTCTTCGTTGTCAGCCTACGAAAATATCTCCAGCGTTCGCGACCGGAACGATTGGACGCTGGCCCCGTTACGCCGAATTGTAACAATGATCTTATCGCCATCGCGATCCCGTTTCATCGGTGAATGGGAATCCCTCGATCGCGTAAGAAAATGGAACGACGCGACAACTCGGTCGGCGACGATTCTACTTAAATCGCGTTCCGCGACGAGCGAAGGTGGTGTTTCGACAGATCTCGCGTTTGTTTTTCTTTCTTTTCTTTTCTTTTCTTTTTTTTTCTTTTGTGCAATGAAAGTATCACGAGAGGAAGATTTCTAAAATAACGTTTGTATTTATTAAATTTGAACGTTATAAACTATGGTATATGTATATTATATTATATACGATACTAACGTAATATATTATATTAATACACGATAATATAATATAATATATTATACATCGCCGATATAGGTATAGTTTTCCGTTTTAAAATGCCGAGCAACGATGTTAGCACGTGTGCTTTAGTTTAGGTACTAGTGTCCCCGTTTTGTTTCTCGGCTCCTACGAACGTATGTATATAAATCGAACTTTTTTATACTCGATATAGACCTCGCTCAGACAGGTGCGTCGTGCGTAAATACGTCGTATAGTTTCTACACGCCATTTGCCGAGGTACGCGTTTCGGAGTTGCAATCGAATCGGTGTCGCCCCCCCCCCCCTCCCATGCGGCGTATCGCGCGTACGTACGTATGTACGTACATATGTTTGTACATCTAGAAGGGATTGGAGTGAAATATAAACGTAGAGATATCCCACAACACAGACTCTCCTCTTTTTTTCCTTTCAAATGTCGCTTTATTTTTCACTTTTATTTGATAATAAATTGTCTACAATTTGTCCTAGGTTAGTACGTCTTGGAGTTCTCGTGAGGGGGAGGGTCGAGGGTCGTAGGGGGGGTGGGGAAGGAGGGTGATGGCGGGAGATAAGGAGGATGGGAGGTTCGCGAAAAAGCGTACGACAATCAATAAAACGGTGAAAAATGGTGATGAGTAGCGAGCACTCGTAAAGGTGACTAACGAAAACGCGCCTCTCGTTCGTTTCTTTTCTTTTTCGTTTTTTTTTCTCTGTCATATTCGTTTTCTTCTCAGCTTTATTATATATTTTTTTCTTTTTTTTTTTTTTTTTCTTTTCCATTGCTTCGTTTCTTTTTGTTAGGTCGCGCGTGCAGCAAGAAAACGGACCATATATATATGTATGTATGTATGTATAAGCGAAAGTAGCGAGGACAGAGACGATACAGAAATACGTTGCGATAAGAAGATTATATTCGATGCACGCGCGCGAACGCAATATCCGGCGATTAGAACGAAGAAGAATGCTGGCCGCGAACGGAAATCAAAAGGGTCGCGTTTTGTGAAACGTAAAACGAACAATCGGGCACGGTTGAACGAACATGTTTGGACGTTGCCCTAGAAATCGTCGCCGTTGGACTCGACGCCGATGGACCTTGAACACTCGAAAACTCGTCCGTACGTGGAACTGCGACGTACATACTCGTTTCGTTCGGCTTCTCGGAAAACGGATCGCTTGCTGCCGGTGGGCGCCACGACGCCGTTTCTTTATCTCTCTCTTTCTCTCTCTCTCTCACGCGTTTTCTTTTCCTATCGACCTTAGGTTAGAACTTTGTTCACGATTCGTCGCGGTTTTCGTCGATTACTCGAAAGAATTGCGGAATACCGCGATGGAAATGAGAAGATCGCAGCATCGGTGAAAAACAGTACCCGAGAGCCATTGTAGTACGTGTGTGCTACACGCTTCGAAAAGATCTCGAGTCTCTTCGGTCGGTGATTCCGCTAGACAACCGTTTTACGCGCGCGTACGCGGCGGGCTCGATTTTTCCCGGAATCTTATCTTCGCGAGTTCGCGTCGTCGCGACCGGGGTAAACGTGGTACACGTGGTACGAAAGTAAATGTACGCGATCGTAACCGGTTAACCGATCGATCCACTCTCGCCCGATCTATGGCCCGACCGCGGCGAGCATCTTTCTTTGCAAAGCAGCCGCGCGCCGTGGTTTCGCGAACTGTTCCGCTCCGAGCGATGTGAATTTCACTCGCGACTCTGAAAAATATGCTATGCCAGATGGCTTTCAGGTACGGTAAAGAGCGAATACCTAAATTATAATTTCTTCCACATGCGGCGTAGTAAATTTATACTCGCTCGAGCTCTAAATAAATAACGCGACTAATTGGTAAGGTGAATCGCGAACGAAAGGAAAGCCATGACGGTGTGTCGAGGTAGACGAAGAGAAGAAGAAAATGGGAATGCGTAGACGCGTAGAGATAAGTAGAAAAGTGGAAGAAGGAGATAGAAAGGTGACGATGACGATGACGATGAAGAGGAAGAAGAAGAAGAAGAGGAAGAAGAAAAAGAAGAAGAAGAAGGCAGAAGGTTTTCTTTTCCTTTCAGGAACGAAATGAACAGACGCAAAACAAAGTTATCGACAATGAATGCTGATGACGAACGTTACACGAACGAATTCACGATTCAACCATATTATTTACTTAACACGCGATCGCGCGAAACCATTTAATCCTTTTCTCCCGTTCTATATCATATCCTTCGTCTCGTTCTTTTGTATACATACATGAATCTCACAGACTCTTTAGACGACATTCGTGGCAATGAATCGTGCCGCACGATTACGCTGAAATTTCTAGCGACGGTGCGTAGCTCCTGCGTTTCTCTCTCGTCCTTCCGATTCACCGCGATCGTCCACACTCTGCGCGTCTTTTTGAGATCGTTGTATCTAACTATGATATATCTACACGTTACTTATATGCCTATATCGATTGGTTGGTTTTTCTCCTCTTTCGCTCGGTTTTCTTTCTTTTTTCTTTTTTTTTTCTTTTTTTCTTTTTCCTCACTTTGTTCGACCTTTGTTCGCTGAACAAGCGAAGGGAGGAGTGATCGATCGAAACGTCGATCCACGGAGGCGATCGATCGACGTTTCCGATCCCCATGTTTCGGCTCATTCGACATTTTCCACGCGGCACCGCGCCGTCCGGCCGAGCACGGCCCCTCCTCGATCCGCCACAAAAGGAACGACGGATGATTCGAATCGATCGCGGCCGTTCGACGTACAAAAAGATTACCGATCGA